ATATTGACATTTGCGGCTAAAGTGCATTTATAAAGATTGATAATGGCATTGCACAAGTATGACAATGAGGAATAACTGTGTTTGATACAATAGCTTCGAGATAAAACGAAATGACAATACAATTAAGCTGTGTGTCATGTTTTGCCTTAACATATTACACATATAACACGTATTGCCTGCATTTTGCTGAATTATAACAGAGACCAAGTCACTAAGCCTGGCCAACAGATCTACATATACTCATGCCAATAATGGTTGTCACCCCCTATTTTAATTGGAGAGGGGGGGGGGTGTAACAACCATTATTGGCATGAGTATATTTGATACATCAAACGTCCTTGTGATATACTAAAGGGCAAAAGAAAGTGTACACATATTTAGTTGCAACAAATACAATCATCAAATGATTGTATGTGATGCATGTGAGCCTGTATCATAATTGTGTAATAGGTGTTAAGTTTGGAGTTTCTGGGATTGATTTCAGCCAAGAACTGTTTTGGTAATGTTTGTTATAATATTTGTGTAAAATCCAGATTTTGAGTCTTTAGTTTCGCTCTCCCGGCACATTTGTGACAAATACAGATAGAATTTATTTATTTTAATGAATACAGATATAATATTCACTGGCACGTCACGATTCTTATAATAACTTATATATTGCCTTTATATGATACAACTGTGTGAATGCTATCTACATTGTATCAATATATTGCATTCGTGTGGCACAGCTGTGACAATAACAGATAACTTGTATCAATATATTGCCTTCGTGTGGCACAGCTGTGACAATAACAGATAAAATGTATCAATATATTGCCTTCGTGTGGCACAGCTGTGACAATAACAGATAAAATGTATCAACATATTGCCTTCGTGTGGCACAGCTGTGAATATATTGCCTTCGTGTAGCATAGCTGTGACAATAACATATAACTTGTATCAATATACATGTATTGCCTTCGTGTGGCACAGCTGTGACAATAACAGATAAATTGTATCAACATATTGCCTTCGTGTGGCACAGCTGTGACAATGACAGATGACATGTATCAATATATTGCCTTCGTGTGGCACACCTGTGACAATAACAGATAACCTGTATCAATACATTGCTTTCGTGTGGCACAACTGTGACAATAACAGATAACCTGTATCAATATATTGCCTTCGTGTAGCACCACTGTGACAATAGCATATAACTTGTATCAATATACATGTATTGCCTTCGTGTGGCACAGCTGTGACAATAACAGATAAATTGTATCAACATATTGCCTTCGTGTGGCACAGCTGTGTCAATAACAGATACATTGTATCAATATATTGCCTTCGTGTATTACACACTGTGACAATAACAGATAACTTGTATCAATATATTGCCTTCGTGTGACACAGCTGTGACAATAACAGATAAAATGTATCAACATATTGCCTTCGTGTGGCACAGCTGTGACAATAACAGATAAAATGTATCAACATATTGCCTTCGTGTGGCATAGCTGTGTGAATAACAGTACTGCACACACTCATCCACTCACTCACTCACTCATCAACTGTGGCTTTCAGATACGTTCTGGTTGTATGCCAAAGTCCACCTACCTGAAATGCCAAATGGTAAGGATGGTAAATGTGTAGTCTGTCGTACAGACCCTGAAGCAAATATATCCAAGAAAGCCCACTAAATCTAGAAAATGTGGCAAGTCTAGATTTCCACAGCTTCAAGAAGAAAGTCAATGTTGGTACATTTTCAATTTAAAAACTTTTATTTTCTGTAAAATATGTTCATTTCAGAGACTAGCTGTTAGTCTAGTAAAGGAGTTAACATCACGTACAAGATTTATGTATTTGACATCGACTCCTATATGTGACATCCCAAAGGGATTACGAGCTGGGTTGACTTGCACTCTACGACGTTTGGTGGGTGTACACGAACATTCCACAACATTGGCACTCACTCATGTAACGTTATTCTTCAATGGTATATTTTCAGGGAAATATTGTTCTGTGGTTACTACATCGATGTTGCGATCTCAAACGCACACGAGACCCGTGAAGATCTGGGTTAGAATTGATCTTCAGTAACCCATGCTTATCGTAAGAGGAGACTAACGGAATCGGGTGGTCCGACTTGGTTGCCACATCACGTCATCCTATTCCAATTGTGTAGATCGATGCTCATGCTGTTGATCACTGGATTGTCTGGTCCAGACTCGATTATTTACAGACCGCCGCTATATAGCTGGAATATTGCTGAGTGCGGCGTTAAACAAACATCCAACAAAACCAACGCACACTAAATATGGCAACAATGACGTCACGTCAAAGACTACTTGTGTCACGTCATATTTTCAACGAAGAGTTCCTGTTTCCTTTTACACCATTTTACAAATCTATTTGGTCCAATTTGATAATAAGGTTATTTATTGAAGTAATAGCATCATTTGAAAAGAATATGAACAATAGTTGGTAGTTCCGTATTGAAGTATTTTTATTCATGAGTTTGGTCATGTCCTCCCAAGCCGAGGAAGTAAGGATAGACGATATTTTCATTATACACCAGACATTCCTTGGGGAGAATGATTCCAATATATTATTTATTATTACAATCTGATTAATGAGTAATGTTTAAACTAGGTGAATGAAATAACTTGTAAATACCGTGTTTAATGGTGTGTATGTTAACAGGAGACATAACAGTAATCCTTTAAATTGAATTGTGGACTTTATAGTGGATTGAAGAAAGGTTGAATATATTTACGTGTTAACCCAGCGGTAACGTGTAACTGTATAATACTTACTGTACCGCGGGCTGTATGTAGTGTGTGGATAATGGTCTCAGCTGAAGTGGCCTGTATGTAGTGTGTGGATAATGATCTCAGCTGAAGTGGCCTGTATGTAGTGTGTGGATAATGATCTCAGCTGAAGTGGCCTGTATGTAGTGTGTGGATAATGATCTCAGCTGAAGTGGCCTGTATGTAGTGTGTGGATAATGGTCTCAGCTGAAGTGGCCTGTATGTAGTGTGTGGATAATGGTCTCAGCTGAAGTGGCCTGTATGTAGTGTGGATAATGATCTCAGCTGAAGTGGCCTGTATGTAGTGTGTGGATAATGATCTCAGCTGAAGTGGCCTGTATGTAGTGTGTGGATAATGATCTCAGCTGAAGTGGCCTGTATGTAGTGTGTGGATAATGATCTCAGCTGAAGTGGCCTGTATGTAGTGTGTGGATAATGATCTCAACTGAAGTAGCCTACAGATACAATACTGAACAGAAGTACAGAATATGCAGCAGTTTTGTTTTATGTATTTGTGTTAACTGTGGAAATATGATGACATTGTATATAACGACCACATCTACATTGGATGGTGAAGTAGTAGTAGTAGTAGTAGTAGCAGCAGCAGCAGCAGCAGTAGTAGTAGTAGTAGTAGTAGTAGCAGCAGCAGTTGTGGTGGTAGTATCAGCAGTAGCAGCAGTAGTAGCAGCAGCAGTAGCAGCAGTTGTGGTGGTAGCATCAGTGTTGTGGTAGTGGTAGTAGTAGTAGCAGTAGCAGTGAATTGGTAGCAGCAGCAGCAGTAGTAGCAGTAGCAGTAGTAGTTGTAATGGTAGCAGTATGCAGTTAGTGGTAGTGGTAGTAGTAGTAGTGGTAGTAGTAGTAGCAGTAGCAGTTGTAGTATCAGTTGTGGTAGTGGTAGTAGTAGTGTGTGCAGCCAGCAGTAGTAGTAGTGGTAGTAGTAGTAGTAGCAGTAGCAGCAGTAGTAGTGGCAGTAGCAGTAGCAGTAGTGGCGTAGTGCAGTTGTAGTGGTAGTAGTAGTAGTAGTACTAGTGGTGGTAGCAGCAGTAGTTGTAGCAGCAGCAGTGATAACAATAGTAGTAGTAGTAGTGGCAGTAGTCAGTAGTGGTGGTAGTAGTAGTAGTAGCAGCAGCAGTAACCAGTGGTAGTGGCAGTAGCAGTAGTAATTGTAGTAGTATCAGTTCAGTGGTGATGGTGAGTAGCAGTAGTAGTAGTAGTAGTAGTAGCAGTGCTGGTAGTAGCAGTAAGTAGCAGTAGCAGTAGCAGTAGTAGTAGTAGCAGTGGCAGCAGTAGCAGTAGCAGTAGTAGTAGTGTTGGTAGTAGCACCAGTGGTGGCAGCAGCAGTAATTGTAGTAGTATCAGTTGTGGTGATAACAAAGTAGTAGTAGTAGCAGTGTTGGCAGAAGTAGTAGCAGCAGTGGTAGTAGTAGTAGCAGTAGCAGTAGTAGTAGCAGCAGTAGTAGCAGTAGTAAGTGGTATCAGGTAGTAGCAGTAGTAGTGTAGTAGTGGTAGAGTAGTAGTAGTAGCAGCAGCAGTAGCAGTGCAGTAGTAGTAGCAGTAGCGGTGGTAGTAGCAGTGGTGGTAGTAGTAGTAGTAGTGGTAGTAGTAGTAGTAGTAGTGGTAGTAGTAGTAGTAGTAGTAGTGGTGGTAGTAGTAGTGTTGGTAGTAGAAGTAGTAGTGGTAACAGTCTTAATGGCAGTAATAGTAGTGTCAGTAGCGGTCTTAGTAGCGGCAATAAAGATATGATTTGTGTAAGTGGTAGCAGCTGTAGTAGTACTAGTAGTATATGTTGTAGTGTCATCAGTAGCCGATGTAGAAGTACAAGTAACAAAGGCATCTGTTTCAGTTGTAGTTGTAGCAGCTGTTGTAGCGTTAGTATTGTTGCAGAGGCCGTAGTAATTGTAGCTGAAGTGGTAGTTGTGAAAAGCAGAAATTAGAATCGAAACTACACTAGACTCCCCAACCGTCCCAGTAGTAGTAGTAGCAGCAGTAGCAGCTGTTGTTGTTGTCGTTGTTGTTGTTGTTGTTATTGTAGCAGCAGCGGCAATAGTAGCTGCAGTAGATGCTGTAGTAGCAGAACCTTACATTTTGGAACATTGAGGTCGTATTTCATGACCACATTGCACGCCGCTGTAGACATGACCGTCGGCGTCTTCAACTCTGAGGCCTTCATTATTACTGTCATTGAGAGTTATCCCGCTTGTTTTGCAGGGTGAAGGCTGTTCTGGAGAAGCATGACACGGCGTTACTGATGCTGTTAGGCTTTGGCGGTTTTTCTGTCATCCTGGCACTCATCCATAACGCAGTAAGGAAATACGTGTTTCACGATGAGCATAACCTCGACACGACGTTTGACGCCGGTGGCAACGTTTCTCTCAGCCTTACTGCAGTCACCGTCGCCTCTCAGCTTTTCTGGCCTGGGGATATCTTGCACAGCGCAACTTTGGCAACAAAGGTAATTTTGTAATATCTTATTAACATACGTTTTCTCTTTGATTAAGGATTGTGGTAAAACATTGCATTTACTGTCTTATAGTGAAATTGTGCTCGAAATATACATCTGAGGTGCCTTGGGCAAGTCAGTAACCTGTGATAGAGTGTTTGAATTATGTTTCTATGCACCGTGGGTTTCACCAAAGCATATTTTGTGAAATTATTTTTTCTTTTTATATTTTACATCGGTCTTCGTGATGTTAGTTAAAAGCAGTTCACCCACTCTAATCAAACACACCCACTCTAATTACCTGCTACACAGATGGTGACCATAATATGTCATCGCTTTCAGGGCATTGGTTGGTTGTATATGGTGGCGGTTTGTAAATAATAGAATCTGGACCAGACAATCCAGTGATCAACAACATGAGCATCCACCCAGTTGAGATACGATTGGGATACGATGACATGTGTTAACCAAGTCAGCGAGCCTGGCTTACTGAAGACCAATTCTAACCCGGCTCTTCACGGGTTCCTGGTCATTGATATTTCTCTCTTCAGTAAAGCTGTCACGTTGATTTCTTGTGATCTGAATATCTGAAAGTGTGATGTTGACGCTATTATTGAGAAGTCTAATATTTATCGCCGTCTCTGTGAACCGGGATACATTAAACTACATTTACAACGAACACGCTAATAACGAACTGATGTATATTACGAACCGACGGATATAACGAACTGACGGCTATAACGAACTGATGTATATAACGAACTGACGGATATAACGAACTGATGTATATAACGAACTGACGGATATAACGAACTGACGGATATAACGAACTGATGCATATAACGAACTGGCGGATATAACGAACTGACGTATATCACGAACTGATATATATAACGAACTGACGGATATAACGAACTGATGTATATAACGAACTGACGGATATAACGAACTGACGTATATCACGAACTGACGGATATAACGAACTGATGTATATAACGAACTGACGGATATAACGAACTGACGTATATCACGAACTGATGTATATAACGAACTGACGGATATAACGAACTGACGTATATAACGAACTGACGGATATAACGAACTGATGTATATAACGAACTGACGGATGTAACGAACTGACGGATATAACGAACTGACGGATATAACGAACTAACGGATATAACTAAATATTTTTCCCCGGCCATTTGCTGTACATTTTATTCGAAATGTGTGTAATGAACTACGGTTATAACGAACTAACATTAGTGATCCGTTCGATGGCTAAATACAGTGTCGTTTGGAAGATTCTGACCATATCATAAGCAAGTGTTTATGGATCACGAACAATTAATGATGATGTTAGGTGTTCGCGAAACGACCAGCAGAATATTGGCTTTCTTGTTGGTTGGTTAGTTGTTTAACGCCGCACTCAGCAATATTCCAGCTATATGGCGGCGGTCTGTAAATAATAGAATCTGGACCAGACAATCCAGTGATCAACAGCATGAGCATCGATCTACGCAGTTTGGATACGATGACGTGTGTCAACCAAGTCAGCGAGCCTGACCACCCGATCCCGTTAGTCGCCTCTGACGACAGGCATGGGTTACTGAAGACCAATTCTAACCCACTTCTTGGCTTTCTCCTCCATCAAGCTGACATACTTGACACAAGTCATCGTTTAACGAAAATTTCTGTATTTAATCGACAGCCATCGTGACAGGAGTTAACAAGAATTCGCCATATTTTGGAACAGATAGAGTACACTCGACCCACAATGTGGCAGCTTAAAAATAAGATATTCGGGCCCAACAAATGACGCTGAAAAAAACACAACTTGGCCCCGAACCGACGGTTCAGTATGCGTACCTCACTAAGTATGCCCCCAAACTGATCATAACTGAACTGTTTCTATCGATTTCTGTAATTTTGTCACAAATATGTCACTGATGCCTACCAATTTACATTCCCCCACCTTCAGGTAAAACCATAGTATTCCATTATAGACATGGGCGGCTAATAAGGACAGCGACTTGAGCTAATCATGCACACGGCACTCTGTCCGAGAAGCTTCTAAGAATTAAGTCTACTTAGCCTGGCAATTGAGGCCCATCCAGCTTGCTTTCGTACGACTAATCCTGATTAATAGCGCCTGCCAGTGAAATACACCTAAAAGATTTCTCCCATTCCTCAGCTATCACTTGAGGAAATGACCGCTTTAAGCTTCTGCAAATACACAATCGTACCAGGTTCATGCATTATGAACTGAATAAGCACGAGCATGTTTGAGACAAAGCGTTTACTAGCTCGTCTCACATTTAGCACGAGCATGCCGTTAAGGGGAATTCCCGATTTCTCTGACGTGCTATCGGCTTTTTTAGAAATGTTTAGGCGTTTTCATTACATCGATAGAGATCGTATTGCCGAATAACGCATTTGGTCGTTCTTCGACGGTCACTTTGGTTCAACTCTATATCTTGACAAAAGTATACCTTTCATAAATCGATACCAAGGCAATGTTCCTCCATTGCCATGTGTCATAGCGTTGCCTTTAGTCCTGATTCTGTAGAAAAAGTAGAATGGTTACCTTATCCGATGTTTGAAGACATTTGCAGACCTCACGGATTGTTACTCGTGTCTTTTATTTGGTGAAAGTATTGGGATTCTCTTATTTTGTTAGCCCTGTGTAAGATATCATATGGTGTTTTACACTGGTTTAGCAATATGTCAAGTATAGCATGGAAAAGGCATGGAATTCTATTTGCATTAAATCATATACACGATCTTCATTGTTCGAAACTTTGGCTATACTTTTCCTACAGTCTCAGGGTAAAATGCGTCGTTTCCATGACAATTGTGAACATATTTTGCGTGAAGAACAATGAGTCCTGAAACACTTGTATAAAGACGTAATAACTTAATGTTTGATCAAGAATTATCAAATTGTATCAGAAATTCTCTAAAACAAATACTTTTGTCATTATTAATTTGTCACTTCAAGTTTATTTACATTTTTAAATAAATCTAGGTATTCACTCCGATTGGATACCTCTCACGATCTGTCATTGTAGGTAAATTATAATTTGTGAGTTTTTGCTCAATCTCTACTTGTATGTTTAATCACATCCTCATCTTCCTAAAAGAGCGTTTGGGTTGCTTGGTGGTTAAAGCGTTGGACCCGTGTTCGATTGCCAACATAAGTATATTGTGTGAAGCCTATCTCTGTCTCTGCTGGAATATTACTGAAAGCGGCGTAAAATCATACTCACTCTGAAAGGATCGTGTACAGTTCTTACGGTGACATCCTGCCCAGCATAGTGAGTGAGTGGGTGAGTTTAGTTTTACGCCGTTTTTAGCCATATTCCAGCAATATCACGGCGGGGGACACCAGAAATGTGGGGAATCGAACCCGGGTCTTGGGCGTGACGATCGAACGATTTAACCTCAAGGCTACCCCCACCTCCCCGCCCAGCATGGAACCACCCCGATGACAAAACCAAACAAAGCCATACCAATGATAAGCAAGGGTGTCATACCACCAAGAAGTTTCATTCGACCCGACACCAGCCATTCTTACAAAATAATTGACCCAACAGCATCTTCATCAGCACAATCTGGATGTTATCAAATGCATTAACCCATATGACCCTCATCACGATGCTCCGTATCAGGCCTAATCTTGCTGCCCCCAATTGCACCCGGCGTACCTAAACATTAGGTGGGCACATTGTGCAATCTCAGCACGTGTTGCCGAGCCGGCTACGCCATTGAGGGAGCAAATTTCAGATAATTTCTGGTTATCTTCCACCTTTATCTCGATTCAGCTTTTTGTCGTAACCACAGGTGCCGTTTCCCACTGTAATTGTCATGACACGCTGTGTTCTGTTATTGCCAAGATTCATTTTCCGGATTAAGGGAACGTGGGGTGGTTAGGGAATTGCTGGCAATCCTAGGATGATATTCACATCAGAAATGCTTGCTAATTGTCTGATATAAATTCATAGTGTCTTTACGAACTGAATAAGGATAGTTTACTGCCGGTAAAAACACACCAAATATTAATGCAATTTCTTTTAAGTGTTTTTCGTCGAATTTGGGGTTAAGGATTTAGGAATTTCATTAATATTACGATATAAATAGTGGGAATAAAGGGTATAGACTATGATTGATTGTAATGAAGAACTAAAAGTTGTTAGAAGAAAGAATATAAAGAAAATTTATAAGTTGAAAATTCCATCAATAGTTCAAAGTATCCTCTTCATCAAGCGATTGTGGTCATTGTGTGTCGTGATCATGACCAGACGAAGATGATAGTATTAGTCAGAAAACAGCCAGATATTTGTTACAATTGCTCACCTTATACATATAAACGTCAGTGCATGAACTAACGGATTTCCAACGAAACAGAAAAATATCATTTTTTTGGCGTAAAATAGGTGGCAAAAGTACTTGAATGTGTCCCTGAAAATCAGTCATGACACCAGGTGTTCGCTAAACGGGAACCACGGATCTGACTTTTCAGATGATAATTGGCGGCGGTTTGTAAATAATCGAGTCTGACCAGACAATCCAGTGATCAACAGCATGAGCATCGTTCTGCGCAATTGGGAACCGATGACATGTGTCAACCAAGTCAGCGAGCCTGACCACGCGATCCCGTTAGTCGCATCTTACGACAAGCATAGTCGCCTTTTGTGGCAAGCATTGGTTGCTGAAGACCTATTCTACCCCGAATCTCCACGGGTTGCGAGGTGATGAGAGTTCGGGTAGAGAATAACATACATATAAATACCATATTAGTTTGTTTGTTATTTAGTGTGGTCCTGTTTCTATATGGAAGATAACCCATGGTTCTAATACAGGTATAGAGGCTGTAATTAGTGGGAGTTGACAGAGTTATTTAAACATTGTAGGTTGGTGATTTACAACGAGGCGACTAACGGGATCGGGTGGTCAGACTCGCTTACTTGGTTGACACGTATCCCAACTGTGTAGATCGACGCTCATGATGTTGATCACTGGATTGTCTGACTCGATTATTTACAGACCGCCGCCATATAGCTGGAATATTGCTGAGTGCGGCGTAAAACTAAACTCACTCACGAACACTCTTAGATGATATTATTATGATTATGATGTTGATGTTGCATATTGTACGCAGAATGTAAGCTTATCGAAGCCGGGTGTGCATACCCCTTCCGCGAACAACTGTTGTTGTCGATGATCTGCTCATGTTATTTTCACTACTATACTCCCGTTTACGCCAACTAGAATCTCGTTCGGCAGGTAATCGGGACTGTTTGTTGTCTTATATAGTTTTTAAGCTTTATATTTACTCTACTCAAGTGGACAATCAAATTGGTCATCTGTTGTTATGCAATAACACAAACATCCGTATACATATACACTTTCAAGACCCGTGAAGATCCGGGTTAGAATAGGTCTTCAGCAACCCATACTTGTCGTAAGGGGCGACTAACGGGATCGGGTGGTCAGACTCGCTGACGTAATTGATTGACACATGTCATCGTATCCCATTTGCGTAGATCAGTGCTCATGCTGTTGATCACTGGATTGCCTAGTCAAGTCGCCGCCATATAGCTTAAATATTGCTGTGTGTGGCGTTAAACAACAAATAAACATGTTTGTAAACATACGTTCATCAAATTTGAGATTTGTGTCTTCTTGGATAAGCCTACAGAAGAAATGTTGCTTTATGAGCATCGGTGTAGGTATGAATAAATCATGCTGGAATAACTTGACAAGCTACTATGGCTACTTTATCCTAGTGTTGGGAATTGGTTAAAGTCTCATAACTGATAACTGGTTCTTTACAGCTGATCAATCATCGAAAATAATTGGTTAGCGTCATTTGTCAAATTCTCTTGGTTATGTTTGTTAATGCATAAAACAAAGAAAAAACATGTAGTTCTTTCAGGGTTTTTGGCAAATTGCACACAATGCATTTGCAAATTTCACATTTTTACAGGATGACTGATATGTTAGGAACATAAATTACCTGGACTCTTTAAGATAAATTCAATCATGACTTGGAACGAGCCAGTAGTGCTTATGAAATGTAACAGACAAAACAAACCTTGTGAAAAATATTGTTATTGCTAACAAGTGTTCCAAAATTATTTGTGTTCGATTATGAGAAAACATGATCGATTGCTTGGTCGTTTAGTCATTGCGACCAATCTTCGATTATTTCAATTAATCGGACCACAACTACTTTATTCCCATCCCTTTAATGCAAGGCCCTATATCCATCGATGAGCATCAGGTCTTAAACACAGCGCTGGTCCTCAGAGCAGGGGCAAGAACGCCTTTAACATCATTTCGTTATTGAATGACACGTCATTAAATGATTGAACTGTTACAAACGAAATCACACAGATGAATTATTTCCATCGCTTTATACGTTACTAATTGTATCAAGGAAGCTTTTAAAAATTGAATTCAACACTAATGTTGACTTTGATCCTGATTTCAATATCTCACTGCAAAACGGCTTCAAAAAACATAATCAAGCTAGGCGCCATAGCTGTTTCTACAAACAGCCTTTCGTCTTACCGTGCCGTGTCAGAGCCTATCGCTTTTCGTGTTTATTTGTATCACATTGAAAGCATGAGTGGAACAGAGGGCCTGGCTGTACGTCACAGATCGCTGATAATTCTCTGTTAAATGAGAGCGTAATTAACGCTAGACAGTTGTGTGAGCCTCTAGATTGGCAGAAGGGATCGATGGAGAATGTTCACCATATAATCAGCTGAGACGCGTATCGCGGGGCCACTCAAAGTGCCAACTTATCAACGTCTTCATTGTGTCCGCGTTGTTCCTCACAACGCCACGTTGTGCTGCTGTCACTGACATTGTAGCCTCTCGCCGTATCAGACAGTCGGGACAATCACACATGGCGGTGTGCTTGATGATTTTGTGAATTACGAATTTATTACCTCTATTTACAATTAATTTGCCGGCATTGTCGGTGTCTGATTCCAAGACAGACTGGCATTTGTGAATGTGTTATTATCTTAGTGAAGATGTAAAATAATAGAAGGCAAATACCAAAATAAAATACCAGAATAATGTGGTGATTTGGGTTCACTTTTAAAGGTTCCATATTATGAGAAAAAAAATGAATAGTTGGTATTTTTCCATCACACTGTACAGATCCTTGCCTGCTAATTAAATGGAGATATTGAAGACTATCACGTCCCAGCCTCAGGCTTTGTAGACACCATTGTAAATTAGAGATATTCAAGTTAAAGTCAATGAGGAAAAATGTGGGTTTGTTCAATCAATAGCTGGTGCAATGGCCTGTATTTGTATTAAATCAACTCCATTTCTGAACATTAAATCTGTGTGCAATATATAGTTAAGAAGACAGTACGTGTCTATTGTCCCATGGGATATTTTAGACGTCAGTTTATAGAAATAATGAGTAACCATTTACAAAACAATTATATATGTAATACATTTGTAGAGCGCCTAATATCCACCTCAAAGATATTCAGTGGCGCTAAGGATAAATTCTTACCCGGGTTAACACAAGCTGCATGTGAGACCATCTTATCCGACCGGGTACCCATTCGCTGCTTGGTGAACAAAGGCGATTTTGAATAAACTCACTTGCCTAAGATGAGACCACATGTGTCGCATGTGCTACGTGGTGGGGCAGGACTGAAGTCCCAGAAACTCTCAGGAGTCAAACTAGCAGAGACGGTCACCCATCCAAGGGTAGGAGTGTGTTCGCTGTATCAGGGCAGATATACTGTCCATCGAGGATATTGAATCTGAATTTAAACAAAAGACCTTAGATAATGTCCGGAAAAGACTTCCCCGGGGCCATTGAGTGATCCAACTGACCATTAAGATAGTTGATTGTTGTATGGGGGTTTTGTATGACATCTTCCCAGTGCAATGTATGCACCGTTTTGATACGACAAGCATGGGTTACTGAAGATCAATATTCTAACCCCGACCATCACGGGTAGACACTAGGATAAACCGAAATAATCTTCAGAGTAGAGTTCTCTAGAATATAATATACGATTGCCAGAGAAAAATAAAGACTTGATAATCCGATGAAAAATTATGTCCAGCGTAAAAGGTGAAACAGTGATAAAAAATTATATTTATGTCTTGTTAAAAATCGAGCGGTTGGGCAGCCTAGTGGTTAAAGCGTTCGCTCGTCACGCCGAAGACCCGGGTTCGATTCCCCACATGGGTACAATATGTGAAGCCCATTTCTGGTGTCCCTCGCCGTGATATAGCTGGAATATGGTTAAAAGCGGCGTAAAACTGAACTCACTCACTTGTTAAAAATCAGTGAAGACTTCTAGTCTTCGCGAAAAAGGATAAGCATGATCTGTACCGGTGACACCAAGCATTCACACAATTTGCATTTACAAGTATGCCCATGTTGCCTGACGCCTCACGGTTAAGACTCATTAAAGTATTTGAAACTAATTCAACAAGGGAACGCACAAGTATCAAAGGAGCCATTAAGTCACTAAAGGTGATGAGAACACGCTGGTAGCGAGGTGACCGTGTTATATATAAATGCTCTTGTGTCTGTAAGAGAGACAGACTCTAGGAGTGTGTAACACATGCTCGGAGAGCTGTAATTGTCCTTAGTTAATATACGGTAATAAACTATTTCTGATATGTTTCCAGAATGGCATCGCTGGACCTTTCTGGTATGCAGTTGGCATCATGGCGAACATCTTCGTGTTCCCAATGTTGTCTGTACAGTTCAAAACAAGAGCCCCGGGTGCCAAGACGTACTTGCAGGTGAGGATCTTTCATACCGTATTGCAGTAGTTATATCTCTCACTGTCTATAATAGTCCTATATCTCCTATATTTATGTTTTGTTATATCTTTCACTTTCCGTATTGTGTCTCCCACTTATAGTGCTATATCTCACATAATGCTATATCTCACACATATTTTGTTATGTCTCACTTTCCGTGTTGTGTCTCCCACTTATAGTGCTATATCTCACACATACTATATGCTATATGTCTCACTTTCCATGTTTTGTCTCCCACTTATAGTCCTTTCATAACTATATCTCCGTTATATTGTATTGTCTCCCACTTATAGTGCTATATCTCACATAATGCTATATCTCACACGTTTTGTTATATCTTTCACTTTCCGTATTGTGTCTCCCTCTTATAGTGCTATATCTCACATAATGCTATATCTCACACATATTTTGTTATATCTTTCACTTTCCGTATTGTGTCTCCCTCTTATAGTGCTATATCTCACATAATGCTATATCTCACACATATTTTGTTATATCTTTCACTTTCCGTATTGTGTCTCCCTCCTATAGTGCTACATCTCACAAAATGCTATATCTCACACATATTTTGTTATGTCTCTCTTTCCGTGTTGTGTCTTCCACTTATAGTCCTATATCTCACATAATGCTGTATCTCACACATATTTTGTTATGTCTCTCTTTCCGTGTTATGACGTCGTCATATGAGCGAAATATTCTCAAGCACGACGTTAAGCCCAATTTCACCTCACCTCACCTCCGTGTTGTGTCTCCCTTTTATAGTGCTATATCTCACATAATGCTATATCTCACACATATTTTGTTATGTCTCTCCTTCCGTGTTGTGTCTCCCACTTATAGTGCTATATCTCACATAATGCTATATCTCACACATAATTTGTTATGTCTCTCTTTCCGTGTTGGGTCTCTTACTTAAAATGGGGGCGGTGGGACAGTGGTTAAAGCGTCTGCTCGTCACACTGAAGACCCGAGTTCAATTTCCCACATGGGCACAATGTGTAAAGCCCATTTCTGGTGTCTCCGCTGCGATATTGCTTGAATATTACTAAAAGCGGCTTAAAACCATACTCACTCACTCACTCAGTAGTATAACTCTACACTATATATTGTATGTCGCCCACAGTAAACTACACATGCACCTCTCCATACTGTAACACACCCTTCCTGTATCATATACCCACCTCCCTATTATATGTCTCACACTTACTGTATGTCAAACACATCCCTTACGTTTCTTCATCTGGCGGTATATTTCCGACATACTATGTATCTGTACTATGTGTGCCTAAGTCCTTCTATTGCGTCTAGGGGCGGTGGGGTAGCCTAGTGGTTAAAGCTTTCGCTCGTCACGCTGAAGACCCGGGTTCGATTCCCCACGTCGGCACACTGTGTGAAGCCCATTTCTGGAGTCCCCGCATTGATACTGCTAAAAGCGGCGTAAAACCAAACTCGCTCGCTCGCTCTATTGCGTCTAAGAAATGGCCCTGGTCAACATGATCTGACTTGATACAATACCGACAGTACTACCTACACCTGAACCAGGACACCATGAAGATCGATAAGGCTTTGTATTTTCATGAGACTGTAGAGCTTGAATCTCCAGTCCAGGAAATAACAAATGTCCTTAGGAGACATTTAGACACTTAGAGTAACTGAAACGTTGGGAATACGTCTTCACAAAACATAGACTTTAAAGTTCGTATGTATGCATACTTTACCCTCTTCCAAGTCGCAGTTCCATTGCAGTTTATACGAGGCCTTAACTCGAAGGGCTGGATCTGTAGAAATGTAATTACACTAAATTTTACTACAGGGTAATGATGCCTTTGATCCAGCGGTCAATACTTTCGTGACAAGAGTATTGGAATATACAAGAGCGAGACACGGATCTACTGCAACCCCGTCGGGTATAGTTAACTGAACAAGGCAAAGTACAAAACACTTCATTTGCTCTGGGACAATTAATCGATTGCAGCCTTTCATAATTGAGTGACACACAAATCTGGTTTCTTGAAGAGGGACGACCTGGTGCAGTAACCTTCCACTTGTAAGACAGCCAGTTGTTAGTTGGACGACTTGAAAACATTTCCAGATGGGAACACATTTAAGTAGCCACCTGTTACAGTAGCGAGGTAATGAGTGAGTGAGTGAGTTTAGCTTTACGCCGCACTCAGCAATATTGGCGGCGGTTTGTAAATAATCGAGTCTGACCAGACAATCCAGTGATCAACAGCATGAGCATCGATCTGCGCAATTGGGAACCGATGACATGTGTCAACCAAGTCAGCGAGCCTGACCACCCGATCCCGTTAGTCGCCTCTTACGACAAGCATATATAGTCGCCTTTTGTGGCAAGCATTGGTTGCTGAAGACCTATTCTACCCCGGATCTTCACGGGTTGCGAGGTGATTAGAGTTCGGGTAGAGAATAACATACAGATAAATACCATATTAGTTTGTTTGTTGTTTATTGTGGTCCTGGTTCTATATGGGAGATAACCCATGGTTCTAATACAGGTATAGAGGCTGTAATTAGTGGGAGTTGACAGAGTTATTTAAACATTGTAGGTTGGTGATTTACAACGAAGCGACTAACGGGATCGGGTGGTCAAGCTCGCTGACTGGGTTGACACATGTCATCGTATCCCAATTGCGTAGATCGATGTTCATGCTGTTTATCCCTGGATTGTCTGGTCCAGATCCGATTATTTACAGACCGCCGCCATATAGCTGGAATATTGCTGAGTGCGTCGTAAAACTGAACTCACTCACTGACTCCATTTACAGCGCGACTAAAACGAAGAACCAGATTATTTACAGACCGTCGCCATAAAGCTGGAATATTGCTGAGTGCGGCGTTACTCAACAAACTAAATAGCATGTTACCCTCAGCCGATTTCTACCTACCCCAATTCAAGAGACTCAGAAACAACTACCAGCATCTGCTACATAAACCAGGCATAGAGACTGTGAATCGTTGTATATTTTCGATTCGGAGCAACCGGTATAAAGTATAAATCCATTTCAGGTGTACCCAATTGGGCTAGAATATTGCGGCGAAAATCCTTAGTTTGCATTTAAGGGACGCTCGGCTAACCAGGCGGTAAAAGCGTTCGTTCGTCAAGCCGAAGTCCCGGATTCGACTGCCCAAATATGATCTGTGCTGTGATATTGCTGAAACAGTGCTAAAAGCGTCCCAGAACCAAAACTCACTCGCATATTGTGTATGAAAGGATTAAGTAGTAGCCTAAATAATTCAAATTATTAAATTCCCAAACGTATTGAGTCTGGAGCCCACAGCATTAAAGCACCTTCAGACCCATACCTCTAATGCTGGAAAAGGCACGGACAAATCAAAGCTTAAACATTCCTGCGGTCGTACTCTGAGAAATACTGATGACTTTCTTGCGCCTAATGTATTTCACATGTCAATCGTTTACTTGATGACATCAAAGACGAACTTTTATGAATCCTGTGATGATGACTTTCTTCTGTCCCACTCCGAACAAAGCACCAACCTGCAGTCATGACACGTGCCAATATAATGGCGCTTTCACTTCCCATCAGCTGACCTTGAAGGCCAGTAGGTCAGGTTTGTGACGCACTGATGCCGTCTCGTCCATCTATTGCCTCCAACATAGTGATATCATCGTTAATATTCTTTTTTATCATCTATTTTCCAGCGCACCGTGTTTTGTGTTAATCATATCAGGTTTATGTTCTTTTTATATTTGTAATCCAAGATAGATCAGTCTTGCGTGAGTGAGACCCATCCGTTAACACGTTATTGTCAGGCTTCATACTTCGCGGAATAGGCGATATACTGTATTGTATTATGTGTGTGTGCTGAATTTGATAATCTGAAGCGACAAAACCCAAAGAGCCCTTCCTTTATCCTAAGTTACCCATAAGAGTCCGTTGTACGATATCCACTACATCATGAGTACATAGATCTTATTATCTGCGGACAAGGCGGATGAAAGACAAGTACATGTATTTCATATGCCATACGGTGTCCATATTGAAATTCTATAATTATGTGTTTTGTAAGTTTTGTTTCCTGGTGGGGTTTTTCGTTTTGCGATTAAGCAATATGCAATCTATTTGTCGGCGGTCTGTAATTAATCGAGGCTGGACAAGACAATCCAGTGATTGACATCATGAGCATCGATCCATGCATCTGGTTTCAACCACATTCACGAGCCTGACAACACCGTTTCATTTCATCATCTCTAATGACTGGTATATTTTGATGAGGATCAATATTCTTATCAGGCCCAGTTAATTATGCAAGTAAATGACATTCTATAATCGCTTTAAACCTCTATATTGTGCAATTAATTTGCCTCTATGGTTTTGAAAGTTGCATTTGTATGAAAAACATCTGCAAAAATCTCATCAGTGATGAATGATACGAAAACGACTGTGTATTACATGAATGTAAGAAGATACCTGGTACCAGTCAAAGAAACGCATCAGCCATTTATAAGTGCCAGGGACAAAGTTCTTATGCGATATTCTGTTGAGGTGTTCAATCACTCAAGATGTGACATGTTTTGCAGATATAGTTAAAAATTAACCGAGAAGTATTTTTCCTTTCACCTAAGAACAGGAAGATTCAAATATGGCCAGAGAATCAAATTCACTATTTAGAGAAACCAGGGTCCTCAGATGGCTCGTCTGGATCGTCACAGCAAGACGGGAGCGGCGGGTAGCCTAGTGGTTAAAGCGTTTGGTCGTGACGCCGAAGACCCGGGTTCGAGTCCCCACATGAGATGCCCATTTCTGGTGTCCCCCGTTGTGATATTGCAGGAGTATTGCTAAAAGCGGCGTAAAACTAAGTTCACTCACTCACTCACAGCAGGACATTCCAGTACCATTTGCTTAAGAAACTGGCGTCATTAAACAGCAAAATCTTGATTTCATACTCGACAACAACAGTAGTCCATGAAATGATCGGAGTTAAACATTTCAAAGCTGCCGAGTGTACGGGGCAATTACATTTACCTTAAAGGCAAAAACAAATCTGCCACATCTCTGTTCAACAATCGGCAACCACATCTCTTCTAAGATGAGCCATATAGGATAGACTTCGTATATGAAGTCCTCTTGCATCACCGAAAGGAAGAACCCTGTGAAGAACCAATACTTGTCGACTAACTTGGCTAACGTGGTCAGACTCGCTGACTTGACTGATACACTTCATCGCATCCCAGTTGCTGGAATATTGCTGAGAGCACAAATATACAACACACACACAAATAAACAAAGCAAGAAGAAAATCCTCCTTTACAGCATCTGAAATAAACTTCCTCACGGGATGCAGTTTTGTCTTTTAACCCTAACGAAATCCCAACCCCAAAGGATCATTCAGCACAACTGCCAGAAAGCCCACGTTACCGAGCCTTCTCGTCTTGAAAACATACGGATCTAAGAACAAACGTCAGCCACAGTAAAAACTGGTCTGATGAGTTGCCGCAAACCAAAACCACGTCATCCATGGGGATATGGACCACAAAGTAACATCAAAGGTATCACGAAAAGAAAACTCGGTGAAACCATCCACATCCCAGACGTACGATATTTATCATCCTGGATGAGGAATACATCATGTCCTGCGTCTGTAGTGAACCCATGCATCATTTTGTGCCGTAACCATTGGATTAAAAACACATTTCAGTGTCGAGGTTATAAACGTGAAAGGGTAAATATGCTCCGCGTTTGGAACCCATCGACAGTTGGAACCAATACTGTAGTTAGTGTCCTGTATGGAGCTGAGACTGTCACTGTGTCATTATAAGTAAGTGAGCCAAACTATGATTTTAAGGAGAATTGAGCAATATTCCATTAAGGGACAGTTACAACACCGTTGCCCCGTGCAGAAAGTGAATTCCTTGTTAACGTATATGTCACGTGTTACTCGTTCAGACTTGGGTATCATTCGATGTGTTCCTTTAATCTTGTCATCAATGTGCAAAAATCTGCTTCGAAGTGTAGCCTCTGTCGACAGGATAATGAACCGAAGAATGTCTGTTGTTTCAATAGATTTCCTTTCCTTTCCTAACTACTACCTTAGACATTTTCCTGTTTGGTACATTTCACTGATTGTACGATCGAGACATTAAATGAGCGCAAGACTTTTTAGATTAGGTTAGTGTTTATTACACTTGATTTGCCTTTGCGTCTGTTTGCAAATACTCTTTTGGCAGGATAAGCTCAACGTTTTGCGAACTTCCTAAACCCAGGCCCAAGACATGACATAGTCACAATGGTACAAAGGACTCTGCTTTTATCGGAGATTTCTTTTGATTTTAGAAAGAATATTGTTGATTTTTTTTTGGAAGCACCAAAATACCAATTTTAAATCTGAAGAGATCTGAGCGGATGTTTGACCTCATTTTTTGCAATAAACTATCAATATTACCACGGAGACACCAAAAATAGGCTGCACATATTACGCCAATATGAAAAACAAACCCAGTTTTTCGTTTTGACTACAAACACTTTAACCCCGAGGGAAGGCAACTGCACTTGAAAACTCGTAACAGCGTTTTTGCTTTATAATAAACGACACGACAACCTTGCAGATGTCGTCATCAATGGACGATTAAATGAATAACGTAGGTTACTAGTCCCTTTACACTTTCTTATCGATCTGGAACCGCTTCGTGAAAAATAATAAATAAGGAACAAAATGTAACTGAATGTGTCATTTAAGGTCTGGTATTTACTGTTGGTTGGGAAAATCATCATTCGTTTGAGTAGTTTACAATATGGCGATAAATCTGGAAAGGAAATCTTAGAACAAATCACTTTCAGATCGATACCTTTGTTGCTTCGATGTTGAAACACCGTATCCTAATTATAGACCAGCAGGAAAGTAGTTTTGTTTGCTGTCAAATTGATAGACAGTGGGAATTGATCGTCATATCTCTTTATTACACGTATAATATGCTAGTAAGTGCCAAAACTCGCGAGATCTCGTTCAGGCGTCAAAGACGCCATGTTTGTTTGTCTGCGGGGCGCAAAGTGCAAACAGAAATCGGAAACACGGTTTGATAATCAATCTTCTCTGCCCACTTCACATTCACTTCAATATGGAGTTTCTTTGAAATATGCCTCTTATTGTTAGCAATTAATGGGAGTTGACACGTCAATGGCGAGGAAGAGGTAAGGCAGTTATCGACCGTGATGGCGAAGTGATAGGCGCTGCTTGTCGCCATGGCTTTGAGATTCTCTATTCACTGTAGTCAAGATTCGACTTAATAACAGATGAACTTTGATTGAGCATAGACTCCATATGGCCTCAAGACTGACGCAGATGTACATTATGAAGGCATTAGTTCCTTACCTTTGATTTCATCGTGGATCAATTAAGAACTGAGTATATTCATGGTAGTATGACCGTTAGGCGTCGTAGCCACAAAATATCACTTGCTTTTTAAGTGAAACGCACCTAGTCTGTATTTATTATCTCTTTTCGATAAAAAGAAGGTAACTTAAACTCTCAAGCCTATTCAAGAATATAATACTTCATTGACTTGTCAGGTTTAGGTACTATTTATAATTCTTTAAAATGACGTTCCGAAACAATCCAGTTGTTTATTGAATTAATGTAAAGTCTTTGCATCCTTTGCTCCGTCATTAATTGGAAAAAATCTTGAATGCTATTTTAAAGATTTTATTTTTCTATCTTTCTGACGTGAATATCGATTTGGCTTTCGAAGTGGCAGTTGCTATTATTCATAAGTCATACCAGTCTCTTTGATGAGATGACTACTTTGCTTGTCGCATACAATTAATGGGTGCCTCTTCAATATGGCTAGAAGATGTAACGATTTATTTTCCCTTTAATAGCTGCAAATCGCGATTAAAGATATTTGTAGCGGGATACATTTAGATACAAGTTGTTGTTTAAAATTATCGTGAAATATGGTGCTGGAAAATATGAGGACGTGTAAAGGATGGTCTTATCAAACTTCAAAAAATAGATTTTCATCCGGCTGTGTGATGATTAATGTTTAAAGCCAGAGACAAGCAGTTCTTACAGTATATGATTCAAGACAAACTCTCTCTGAAAGAAAGCGCCAAACAACATTTGGCGACCAATAACACATTTATTTTTATGAAATCCAGTGAACAAATAATTTTTCAACCGGATCCAAAAGTAGTTTTCCAACATTTTTCAAACCAAATTCCTGTGTTCATCCCTGACATCTCCAATGGTCTCCTCATTTAACCCTTGCTTCTACGTTAATGAATGTTTTTCTTTATTGAAAGTATTTATTGAATGTTTTACGTTATATATTAGTTTAAAATTATTTATTGAATGTTCTACGTCATATGTGAAAGTAGTTTTTAATGTTTTATGTTATTTATTAAAATATTTATTGTTTATTCACAGATTATTCACGCACGGTTCGGCTCTTCGGCCCACAAGGTGTTCTGCGTGTTTGCTCTCCTCACCAACCTCGTCATCACCATCGGCATCATCCTCGCGGGACAGGCAGTCATTCAGTCCCTCACGAAGAACACCTCCGACGAATTTACAGTCCTTATCATGGCGACCCTCTTCGGCTCCTACTCCCTCATCGGCGGCCTCGGCACCACCTTCTACGTGTCCTACTTCAACGCCTGCCTCGTCTTCATCCTTCTCATCGTCTTCGTCGTCAAAATACTGCACAACTCCGAATCCCAATACGACAGCGTAGGAAACGTAGAGAAGATGTACGAGGCGGTGTCGTGCATCAAGGCGTCCGACGACACCGAGTACGGCTACCTCTCCTTCAGGTCGATGTCGGCGTTCCTGTACGGCATCATCGAGGTGTTCGTGTCCTCGGCTGTCACATACTGTGACCAGGCTTCCTGGCAGAGCAGGATCGCAGCCAAGCCCGTGCAGGGAGTGTGGGGTTTCATCCTGGCTGGCTTTATGTGGTTCTCCATCCCGTCAACGATGGCGACGACGACTGGGATGGCCTACCTCGCCATTAGCTCCACCAACGGCAGCCACATGCTCCTTCCGGGAGAGATAGATGAAGGTGAAAATATGGTGCAATTTTGTAATGAAATTGATACAACACCGGGTATTTATAGAGAAACGCCCATTGTATTCAACTTTGAGAATGCTATGAGGTATGGCTCATCCAATCCACTTAAATGGGGTGTCTTTACCAAACCATGCTTGTCATAACAGGCGACTAACGGGATCGGGTGGTCAGGCTCGCGACTTGGTTGACACATGTCATCGTATCCCAATTGTGTAGATCGATGCTCATGATGTTAATCACTGGATTGTGTGATCCAGATTCGATTATTTACTGACCGTCGCCATATAACTGGAATAGTGTGTGTGGTGTAAACAACAAACAAACAATCTTAAATGGGGACAAAACCTGTGATTTTGTGGTTGCAATGGCTGTTTTATATGAGCATTTTTTGGTGTCTCCTCAAGAGAAGGCTATTCATAGATAGATAGGACTTCACAGTGTGAAGTGAAGTAATAATGGCAAACTATATCACTTATTACAAGGTTCTTTGATAACGTATCCATAAAACTCTCCACTAGACTGTAAAGAGACATCCCAATAGTCAACTCTCCCTTTGTGGGAGCAATATTACAACACCTCATCCCTTTGGTGAATACTGTCAGTGAAACCCTCGTAGTAACAGCAATCGGGCATGCTCTTTCTACGAATGTTTCACAGAGCATCATACAACTCTTTCTCAAAGGCATCGGTAAAGAAGAACGTTTTATGGCAGACACGTTGAGGACCTTGACAAATTTACACATTCAGTTACAAATATCCTACATGTACCATTTGTGGTACCATTTACTTGTGACGAATAACGCTCAACATTTTACTAATTCCTAACACCATCATTTTCTATGGTGATTCTTGAATGCTTAGGGTTAATTTTTATTACTTGGTTTACGGATCCGCCGACCAGAAATGTGAAGAAAGTGAGAAAAAAAATTAGAACTGTTTTTACATTTTTATTTATTTCTTTTTCTTTAAATTTTGCTATTATATGCCGCCGACCTGATAAAAAAGCAAAGAAATTGAAAAAAAGAAAAATAGAAAAATAGCAATTATTCCCTGACACAGTTCAAGGTAATGCCCAGGCTGAAACAGCTGGCATGCCGCACCTGGCATACATGATATAAAGTGTTCAAATAAAAGGGCGGTGGGGTAGCCTAGTGGTTAAAGCGTTGGCTCGCGAAGACCCGGGTTCGAATCCCCACATGGGTACAATGTGTGAAGCCCATTTCTGTGTCCCCGCCATGATGTTGCTGGAATATTGCTAAAAGCGGCGTAAAACCAAACTCATAACATCAGTTCAAATAACATCTCCACATTCCCTTTCTTTTTTATTTTTTCCTCCCTACCGACCTAATAATGTGGTTTTTTTAAATTCGTAAAGCAAGTAATTAAAAAGGCCTTATGATGAAATCGTGCATCGGACTCTTCTTTTAGCAAATGATTCTTGAAGATTTTAAAATATATTTGGACGCTTTTAACAATTGACGAAATTAGCTACGCTTTTTGAAATTGGCCATTGATGGGTCAGTATATGACAGATGATTTTACGTATGGATGACCATGAGGACAACAGTACATCAACATTCATAATAGTAAAGATCAGTATAGAACTATCATTAGCTGGAAAACAGCATTTTCAAGTTTTTAATTTTGTAAATTTCTCCTGACCTCTTCACTGAGTTCAATGTATTTTATCCAATCCAACCATTTTTCCGAAATAGATCATCGAAATTATTGGAAGGTTAAGGCTTATGAAGGTATTTCTATCAATTTAAATGCTTTTCGACCGGTGAAAGTAAGTCAGAATAACAACAAAGTATATTGCTAAAAATGAACCTTCACTTAAAGTGAACACAAGAATTACTTCCTACGCTCAGTAAACTATGCCAACGCAACGTGCAGTGTATTGTCAGATCCTAGACATATAATTTATATGACAATGGTCACCTGCAGGTCTGGTTACGCCACTGATCGCGGAGAAGATTCTGGGGTCGGCGGGAGGAATTCTTGTCTTGACTATGGGTGCTATGGCGTTGATGTCAACAGGGTCGGGAGAGGTGATGGCCATCTCTTCCATCATCGTCTACGACATCTACCAGACATACATCAACCCCTTCAGGTCAGTGCGACATCGTCCAAGTAGATTAAACTTTGTCTCGAGTTCCATCCCTCATGTATGGCCGCCATGTTTCCGACCGCTGATATCCCCAGGTGAGATAGGGACGGAGATATGTCCTTGTACTTTCGGTAATGGGCTATTTTATGCATTATGGTTCCTTCGGTGACTATGTTATGGATCAGTTTTAAATAGCTATGGTCAAAATTTGACGTTATCGCGTGAGGTTGATGATTTGACGTTATAAATTGTGACGGCGGTAGTTTGAAAATGCATCGGCGGCATCAAAGTGTAAATCTTACATGTTTCGTGAACACCCGGTGTCATCGCGAATTTTTCAGTGATCTGTTGTATTCATATAATGTCTCCCCTTTCTGCGTTTTACTCAAACTCATCCCCAAAGTGTTGTCTGATTCTTCTGAAATTCCTTCGTTTTCCCCTTCCCTTAACGTCTTATATTTATATATGTAGCAATGGTATTAGATATTTCGAAATTTGCTGACAGGCCATGATGACGTTGCACAATAATGACAATTGTTTGATGAAAAGAATTATTCGAACCAGAGATGGAATTTTCACCTTTCAAATATTCTCTGTCCTGAAAAAGTTTAGTTCTTCGTTACAATCAGTCATAGCCATAACTCTTATCCCCACTATTTATATCGGAACATTAATATAATACCTAAACCCTAAAGCTCATTTATTTTCGGCAGTGAACTATCCTTATTCAGTTCGTGAAGACACTATGAATATATATCAGACAATTAGCAAGCATTTCTGATGTGAATATCATCCTAGGATTGCCAGCAATTCCCTAGCCACCCAACGTTCCTTAATTAATCCGCAATATGGATCTTGGCAATAACAGAACACAGCGTGTCATGACAACAACAAAGGAAAACTGTTTAAGCGCTTAATCGAGACTGGTTATTGTCTGGCCTTGACGTAGCATATAGAATTTTGAATATTCGCCCCGAGCATACGAGGCATGACACATGAATATAGTGCATTATATGTTACGTTTATAGCAAAACACTTTACAGTATTGATTATTAGTCATTCATTCAATTATCTATATCTAAATTACAGGTATCATCTGAAAAGTGTGCATTGCATATTGTGCGGACGAGTGAAACGAGAAGCCGTGACTCAGCAGAATAATGACGAGGGGGATTTCTGCGCATGCGTTGACGCAACACGTTGCCACCATTGTGTGACGGACCTGCAGAAATACAGCAGCAAAAAGTCCTACTCGGCGACCGAGGGGTATAAATGCCCAACACACGGCAAGTACCGCGAATATCAGGACTACCTCATTAACTTCAAGAATATGTGCATTGTCTGGGTCACCATTGGAATCATTCCCCTTGGACTCGTTGTGTTCGAATCAGGCATGGATCTGAACTGGATCTTCTACTCGGGCGCCATTGCAACCATCCCGTGTTTCCCGCCGGTACTGTTGTCCATTCTGTGGGTCAAAGCCACGGGGAAAGGGCTTATTGCAGGTAATAGCAAATTATATCGTCTTCAAATAAACGTTGAGGTATATGAGTGAGTGAGTATGGTTTTACGCCGATTTTAGCAACGTTCCAGCAAAATCACGGCGGGAGACACCAGAAATGGGCTTCACTCATTGTATCCATGTGGGGATCGAACCCGGGTCTTCAGCGTTACGAGCGAACGCTTTAACCACTAGGCTACCCCACCGCCCCTTGAGGTATTTGAGATGGTGATAAAAAGCGTTACTCTGTTTGCAAAAATATTATCAGCTTATTTCACCAATTTGAAACAGTCATACACCATATGCCGAAAAACACACACATGGGTAACCAACTTCAAGCATAAATGTGACCGGTTGTCTGATGAAACAGTTTGGGTCTTTTTGGTAATTTCTTATGGCTAGGGAAATGTCGGGTTGAGACTTACATCAAATCTTCCCAATAAAAACACAACCGTCCGCTAACCCATGTCTGTCATAAGAGGTCACTAACGTGATCAATGGTCAGGCTTGGTTAATCATATCCTAGTGGTGTAGCTTACTGCTGATGTTAATCACTGGATTGTCTGGTCCATATTCGAGTGTTTTACTGTCATATGGTCGGAGTATTGCTTTGTCGAACCCAAAATCAAGATTGGCAGATGAATACTAGTGTTAATGTATAGAATAATTATTGAATTTCCTGTGACATGATTGGTAACAGACAATAAAATGGTCTGGAAGTATTGACATCACAGTGATATTAAGGATTTATGCAGCAAATAACTCACGTAACACTTCAGCCGTCAAAACAAATTGTTTAGTTATTAAATGTATTTATTGATCTATTTCATCATTCTCTCACAACCTCGTACTAAAGTCGGTTCCTGTTTTCTGTCCAAAGGGAGTATATGCGGGCTGGTGTGTGGAATCAGCGCTACTCTGATAGCCGCATCTTTCTACGAGGGAGGTCTCAACAAGTTCCTCCTCAACACTGTCCAGGACTACGCCATCTTAGCAGGAACATCCAGCAGCTTTGGCGTCAGCCTCATCGTCTGCATCCTGGGCTCTCTGATGACGCACAAGATCACGTCCTCCGAGGACGAGAGTCACGAATGGTACAAGATGTACGACATCGACAACCCCTTGAACCCCTGGGAGTTGAACTACCGCGAGGATCTGAAGGGATACGAGTATCAAGGGAGACCATCCTTCGACCAGATGTTCAGCGCGTTCAAGTCGGCCAAAACCACAGCCTATATAGCCGGGAGCTGCGCCATTGCCCTGTTTGCGCTGGTGATTCCTTGCATTATGGCCAGTTTTCCCAATATGGATTTTACCCAGTTTTCAATGTGGGTGACATTCACTCAGATCTGGGCCATTGTCATGGCAATAATTGTCATCATTGCACCCCCAGCGGAGGAGATCTCTCGGATCGTTAAGCAGTGTAGGAAAAACAAGGGCATGGATACTCAGGTGATAAAGAGCCCTATACCAGAATGCAACGAACTTATTGTAAAGGATAACAACATTGTGGGCAACAGCGACCAACCAACGCATGTATGAACCTGTAGACCGCGGAACATGGCAATGGCTAATTGTTTTGTTCCAATTCTTGGTTGTGACTTAGATGCATTTTGGAGGTGGGACTAGAACCTCACAACCTCTTTCGTAAGTGCGGGTTATGGTTTCCATCGAAATCAGATGCGGAGCGGTTAACGCGTAAGTGAATGAATATTCTCCAAAAACCAAAATGGCTGCCAGAGCCGGACTTCAGCCACCGGAAGCGACGACATCACGCATGCCAAAACATGGTACTGTTTGTAAACGAATACTGCGTTAAGACTGGGGTCTCTACATCTCCAACCAAGACAGTGGTGAGACAGGATGAGGGTTATACGCTGATACACCCTACAAAGCTAGATAAGATCGTAGTTTAGCAATGTACACGTGGTAACTATACGAGTGTATTCCATAGCAATGAAGTTGATATGTGTTCGTATCAACGTACACGTGAATACGTAGGCGTCTTGACGTTTTGTTAGGTAAGTCCGTAGAAATAGAGTCATATTCAACTATTCCATGTATATCTCTGGCGATCTTTCAAGTAATCAGACAGACTAGAAATTTCGCATAGATCGTGTAACTGTGTATGTTGATCCTAGAGGACGACACTGTGAAAGGATTTTTATTGTGAAGCTTATTTCGTACGTTCATATTTTGATATTGATTTGTTTTTCTAGACTCATCATGGATGTAATTTGGATGTAACCAGTTTGTGTGTAACTAGGAACTTAGAGTTCATGAACATAACATTTCAACGATCCATTGGGATGCGTCAGTCATTCATACGTTCAAACCATGACATATCAACATTTCATGACATAGTTAATACTGTTTTCATTGTGTACCATACGGAAAGGTATGCATACGTTCGGGCTGAAAGATCATACGTCAAGGCAGAAACTGATCAGACAATGTGAAGGTACCGTACGTCAAGCTAGGGATGATTTTCGTCGGGTTTGCAAAACCATTCGTCAAGGTAGAAATGTATTTCTTCGTTATTTCTCCATTCGTACGTCAAGGAAAACAGAGTATATCGTGGGAATTTTATAAGATTGACATGGTAGAATCGCCGTATCCCTGGTGAATTCATCATAGAAATATATGACGTCATATTGATTCAATGTACGCCAGGAGGAAACACGTTTTGTCAAATTTAAACGGCCGTGTGTCAACAAATTCAGTGGGATGTGTTTGGAAACTGCAATCTTAAGATTAGTCTAAGTGAACATTATATGTATGAAAAGGCCTGTGATTCCATTTAAAACTATGGACATTTTTTTCTTACCGAGCATGCGTAATTTTACGATCTGGGCGCACGTACTACATAGAATCCAATAGACATTGGTTTAATAAGACTAACTTCTACCTTTATGATTTGGATATCAGACAGATTACTGTACAAACAATTCAATAATATACCTTTGAAATTTCTCCGTAAACTTTTGCTGAAAATGGAGAATGTCTCCCTGTTGATCAGATTTCACACTTTAATTGAATCGCCAATGAGGGGTTCTTTTGAAACGAACGTAATTCACTGAAATAAACCTATAAGCTTTGAATGTCCACTCAGTTTAGTTAATTACCCCGATACCAGGGGAATGGGCAGCACTCGTTGCTTAATAAAGGGACTTTGGCAGAGCGTCACCCATTATCGGGGATTAAAGTAAATATTAATCCGCGATTCGGCGGTTCCCTGAATTACGCACAACCTATATAATTCAGCACCATCCTAAACAATATCATTCTAAATAGTACTTGTGAACATCATTATTAATTTAAATTTGGTGTTCATCTCGATGAAAGGTGTCTAGAAAATCAATGCCCTTTTTGTACCGGACTTACCGTACTATGAATATCAAGGTCAATATCAATTTGCATTTTGATATACGTATAGTAAACCTAAGGTATGTTACATTAGCCTTTTCGGAGCTCCTTTCATACCGAAGGTTAACGAGTGTTACCGGAGATTACCGACATCGATATAGACAACGGAAGAACGTGTTCAAAATGCTGTCAAAGTTTAGTAGACAGTGTACTGGCATAAGTCAGTTGTTAATATAGAAACATGTATTCTCAGTCTATAGAACCGTTCTTGTAAAGTTAGCACAAAATATACGATAGTGGTCGAAATGGACGTGCCAAATGCCATCCGCATTTCAAAATATTGCTAACAATACGTGATGAAAATATATGACTTAATGTCTTCATCGGGCAAACTGTTTAAAGCTTACATTATGTATGTTTCCGTTAAAACACGAGTATTTTTAAGGAACAAGCAGGCAGTCGGACGAGCCAAAGCCCTTTATCATTTCGAAACGGAATGTATAATTAACTACACCATTAATACAATATTATTCTGAAGTCCTTCTTAATCTATATATATGTGTACAGTGCGTGTGCGCTGCTCGTTAACATACATAACTTCATACCGAATTCGATTGGTCATTTAGAATAGGTGACCAAGTATCGAGGTCTTTTTCCAAAACGATTTTCTCTAGGCCAAGAGGGGAGAGGACGTAAAGGAAACGAAGCTTTGGTTTCAGCAGACCAGGGCCCCGTTCCACAAATTAAGCGATCGTAGAGCTGAGGTGATCGTAACTCCCATGCTTAAACATAGACTTACGACAGTCGTAGCGCTACGATCGTTTTGAGGAACGGGGCCCTGAGGAAGCATTTTATTCGGAATTTGACTGACATTGACGGACTCTCCTTCGGAAGAGTGTTATTTTATTATCCCTGTTCTCATTGGTGAAGGATTTTATAACAAATGTTTGCTGTGGATATATGCAATGTTGTTCAGATGTGACGTTATTTAATACTGTTTCTCATATGACTAGTTTAGGTAAATAAAGTACAAATAAACGTCTCCTGAGGTAATTGTTGATGTTGATGGTATAGTAGAAATGTTGATTTCATCTAGCAATAAAGTTGTTGGATACGATTATGGTTTTTATCATTTATATACTATTGAAGACTATCCATTGAAAAGACACTACAAGGCTAGGATGTATATCGATATAATGGGGTGGTCATTGAAGAAAAGAATGAAGGTGAATCCCTAGGAACTGAGGACAATACAATGATGTGACACGTGGTATTTGGTTGTTGGTGGAGAAATTTGTGAGTGAGTGAGTATGTTTTCACGCCGAATTTAGCAATATTCCAACAACATCACTGCGGGGAACACCAGTAATGGGCTTCACACATCGTACCCATGTGGGGAATCGAACCCGGGTCTTCGGCGTGACGAGCAACCACTTTAACCACTAGGCTACCCCACCGCCCCTACCACTTCTTGAAATATTATTTATATACTCATGCCAATAATGGTTGTCACCCCCTTTAAATTTTTAATTGAGGGGTGGGTGGGGAGGGGGTGACAACCATTATTGGCATGGGTATATTTGTGAACTCTGGATCCTTCACACCGAAGATTCGGGTTAGAACTGGCACTCAACAACCCATGACTGTCGTAAAGGGATCGGGTGGGCAGGCTCTCTGGCTTCGGCGATGCATGTCATCGTATCCTAAATGCGCAGATCGATGCTTTTGATGTCAATCACTGGATTGTCAAGACTATTATTACACACCCTCATATATCTGGAATATTGGTGAGTGCGGCGTTAAACACCAAGCAAACTATACCTCACACCACGGCGCCCATTTTGTAGAAGTTGGGAAATACAACATTATTACCCATACGGGCTAGGATACACAGGTGATTATTTTTGTGATAATCGCACATGTGCTTTTCAGTGATTCTCAGCGTTGATTCTCAACGTTTTCTCTTGTTTGTAAACAAACGCGCATATTCATAATAGGAAGAGACTGGCCTTACGCAAGCTTTTCGGCGCGCTTTTCACAATGATTTACATTGTTACAAACATATTCTTCCACAACGACAGTAACGTTTATGACAGTACATATTTAGATATCAAACTGGTTGCATCGTTTGCTCTCCGTCAGCTTCGATGACAGCACGTGGAGCCGTACAACCTATGTAAACAAAGGATCGGTACGCAAATCGAAATAGTGTTACACGTTTTAGGATATTTTCTCAGTGAAACTAAAGCATTCTATCAAAAATGTTTAATTAGATGTGTAGACTCGTCAAAAATAAAAGAGTTAAGAAATCTGTACATTATATTGAATGGACGGTGCAAGATGTGACGAATCGTCACATCTTTTTGGCCTGTGGCAGAGGTACTATGCTGGCTTGCCGCATGGAACTCTGGGTAGGAGAGTGACCCCCGATCAAGGTCCGAAAACGTCTCATCCAGACCCTCTCTGACAATGGTGTACCAGCACATCAAATCAGGTTCAATCAATAAACAGTTACTCTTCAATTAATGAAAGACAACATCAGTCCATCAAAAAATTGTTGTCAAAACCTTGTAACTCCACCGCTCTGTCCACTCAGCCTCAGGCTGCTACCATGACGTCACAGTCTTTGCCGCATGCCGTAATTCTTCATACACTATTCTTAGGTCCAATTTATGGTGGTGTATTCCACTTCAACATCTCCGAATGACTCCTCTGTCAGTCGACCATCTGCTCCAAAGAGGCGCATTCTTCCTATTGACTCGGATTCCGACTAGAGTTATCCTTCTTGAAACTGCTATACTCCACTGGGACCAATGACGTGACTGTAACACACCTTCCACAGAACAAAATGTTGTTATATCTTCAAACTTGTTGAGTTTCTTGACAGAAATCTTTTTCTAGATGTATTCGTGGATGGTTGTCTTTTAGATTTCCCAACTATTCACCGTTGACTTTCCAAAAAATTGACAGGTTTTTGCCACAGTGTGTTTCAACACTACACCGTCACCCGTCACTAGACACACGTCAGTCGTGAATGAACGATGTTCCGTCGCACTGACTTGATCAAATATATGTTTAGCTGTTATTAAGTTCAATGATATATTTAAAAGATCATTTTTATCATATTAACAAATGTTAATTAATTATTCCAGACATTATATTTTTGTTGTATTTTAAAGCGATTTTACGAGGTACAATTGTCCATAGCGTAGTTATGTTATTACCGCTGGAGAAGTTAGGTTTAATACGTGCATGAATGCGAAACAGCTGTTTGAGGTCACAAGTCCTGTCTCCGGGTGGTTTGTATTTCATGGTTCTTCTTTTTAAATTACATTATGGGTAATAAATAGAATAACCAACTCGGTACGAGTGATTACGGGAAATATGCCCTCGTTAAAATAATGTTCAGTGCCTCGCCAAGGCTCGGCACTGGGAACATATTTCAACTCGGGCATATTTCCCGTAATCACTCGTACCTCGTTGGTTATTCTCTAAGTATCTCACTATACTGACACAGTGTATATACATCGATCATATACATAGCACAGAAGCCGCTTTACCCAAGTGATGTCTCACGCGTGGTAGTGTTCTGAGTGTATGATGCTTTAAAGTGTTAAAGTTCCATCACAGCAGGTCAGCTTAATAGTGAGTGAGTGAGTATATTTTTACGCCGCTTTTAGCAATATTCCAGCAATATCACCAGGGGAACACCAGAAATGAGCTTCACACATTGTGCCCTTATGGGGAATCGAACCCGGGTCTTCGACGTGACGAGTCAACGCTTTAATCATTAGGCTACCACGCCGCCCGAGCTTAATAAGGGAGGAAATCCGAAGTGATACTACTCTAAAACCCCATTCACGACGAAGTTTTGCATATATGCAGATTTGGTCATGTAAGCAAATTGACACACATGAGAAAAAGCACAGGTGCGTGTCACGCTTAGAAACAGCGTTAGAATGACATATAGGTATATAGACCCTGCCCTAGTACTATATAATATAGTACTAGGGTAGTGTCTATATTCCTATATTCGTGACACGCCCCTGTGAGTAACAGTATATATGCTACGCGTTCATACGAGGTTAGCGTCACATATAAGCAAAAAAGAAAAAATCATTGAACAACATTTATTTCTGACATAACAATGGACAGGGTAAGACTGCAGATGCACGGCAGAAAAAGACAGCTGCCATTTGACCTCAGTGTTGGTTTGATCCTTGGATGTACCACTGACAGGAGCATGAGAAGAAACCCTAGATCAACACAGTGGTATGATAGCATCGTTTTACATCGATATAACGAAACAGATTGGTTTGAAAACTTCAGAATGAGAAAAGAAACGTTCCATCTGATATGTAATATACTGAAAGATGATCTGTCTCTCTCGCCAAATACAGTTGAGGAACCACTTGACGTCCACAAAAAAGTTGCGATTGCAATCTATTGGATGACATCATTGGCTGAATACATGACAATTGGAAATTTCTTTGGTGTAGGAAAATCAACGGTATGTGTTTTGTATTCGTCAAGTGTGTGAAGCAATCATGAAATATCTTTTTGCCGAGTATGTCAAATCCCTGAAGGAGAATCACTGCCCCTGAACATTCACATGGAGACTACTTGAATAGAAAAGGATTTTATTCCTTCATTCTGCAGGGTGTATGTGACCACAAATACATGGTCACAGACATTAACATTGGTTGGCCACAGTGTGCGAAATAGCCACTGGCCCGCTAGCCCGTGGCTACTAAATATCCAGTCGGGCCAGTAAATCTCCACAGTCACTGGCCCGACTGGCTACTGAATTTTCATGGGGTAATTTTGTAAATATATCACTCTCTCCGACTCGTTAAGTTATAATACACTTTTAAACCATGTAAGATTATGGCCTGATAAAAATGTTCATCATATTAGCAGCTAAATGATGAAACCCGTGTCATGCCGATAATATCTCATTCTCATCTATTTTTGTAATGTTTTGCTTAGTTCCTACATTCAAATTCCGGGCTAGTGAATCATTACCTGTGGACAGGTAACTTTGAGCCATAACTAGCCCGACAGGCTAGCAAAATTTGGAAACTATTTCGCACACTGGTTGGCCAGGTCGCGATCCCGACGGTTTTCACATTCAGAGACAGACAATCCTCAACCCAAAAGCTTTTACTTATACCATGTAGCAAATTTGCACCTAGTGCTGGCTAGGTGTAAATTTACATATGAGTGTAAAATTTGCATATAAGCAAATGCGTTCATACGACCAAAATTACTCACATAAGTATAATATCTACATATGTGTAAAGTATAGTCATGTGAGCAAATGTGGTCGTATGAATGGGGTCATGTAGTGATATAACTACGGCGAAACAGCTTACGAACAGACAATAACAGATTTCCGGAACACCTAAGAAACTGAACTCAGGGCAGCGAATTGTTGACCCTTGTTGAATGAGTGGGTAGGAGTGTTAGCGTTTAAGCTATTCAGATTAGCATTTCAGCTGTAACACATCGTATCAGATGGATGTTGGCGGGATATGGCAGTCGGACTAATTAAGATAAACCTTCTAGACATGGCACTGACAGTTCAAGGATAATAATCAGGGGGTACTGTTTGCAGCTGAGAGGACCTGCACCTGATCTACTGGGCCACGCTTAGACTAACGCTTAGCTTATGAATATATATAATTTGGATGGTAACAAATAAACCCATTTAAATTGAAAAGCAGAAATTCCTGAACCTGAGGAAATCTAGAGTTGCTTCATTTAGGGCTTTAGCATTGCAAGGAGGGCTCGACAGTAAGGAAAACAATGCGGTTCAGGGACTGTGAGAGAGACTATGCCACGCTCTCCTTCCTTGATTTGTGTCAACTGCCGATAGTGGTTGTCACTACGGGTAGACAAGTTTAATATTTATTTATTGATTGATTGAAGACATTTTAGTTTTGGTTTTCAAATTATGTAGTACTATATGTAGATATTTCTCACGTATTCATGGTTATTTTGGCTACCTTACGAATTGCACATATCTGTTTATTGTTTATTGGTATGGTTAGTTAGGCTTTATTTTGGTACCTACTCTTGTTTTTTGTTATTTTAGAAAAACTAAATTCCCTGGGGCATGTAGAACACCTTGGTTGCTGTCACCGACATCCGTGCGCTGGGTGTAAAACCTTGACATTTTCAGGCGTAAAACCGTAGCACTTTCAGGCTTAGAACCATGACCCTTTAAAGCCATCGTCGGGCATTGCGAGCCCCTTCAGGGTCCTACTGTTAATGGGTGGTCAGGCTGAAACGTTTAGTTTTCGACGTGACGAGCGAACGCTTTAACCACAAGGCTTCCCCGCCGACCCTGACACCGACGAGGCAGTAAAGGCGCACTAACGACACCAGACGATTAAGACACTGTGTCAACCAAAGATCGACTTAATTTGACTAGCTTTACAGACTGGTTCTAGTCCTCTGTTCTTGGCCCTCTGTTCTCATCCTTTAATTGTTCTATGAGGTTGAGTTCTGGACAAAAGGCCAGCCATAGCCATTTTGGATGTCTTGTTGACATGAGGTCATGAGTGTTGGCCTGCTGTAAGTAACGTCTTCACAAACGATGTTTTTGTGTTTCGTTGACCATTTTAAGTCTCATTGGCAACTTCGTCTTGTGCCATTCCTGTCAGCAGCATACATATGGAGCGAAGTCTTTGATTTTTCCAAGAAACATGCAAACATCCTAATTGAGCGCGTACTGATTATAATTCACGACCTTAAAGTCGAGTTATCTTTATGAATGTTCATTGAAAGATGCATAATTTAATATCAGAATTGCTTTTAATAAAGCATAGTTTCTTTTTCCGCTGGCATATGATCTGTTTTTCACCTTGAAGGTATAACTAATATTGTAATACAGAATAAAAACAGTATCAATCAAATGCGAACATAGCAAATGTATTTAAAATTTTAATTAAATCATGAAAACATAGAAAATGATAAATCGTAGTTTAATAATAACTGCGTTTATCATAGGATCATGTCTGAAGTGTAACAAAAGTGGATTTATATGAAAACATAACGATATACAATCTTGCGCCATCTTACAAAACTTACTAACATAAAGTTGATATAAGTATTTGATTTCGGACAAAAGGTCCATTTGAATCTTAAGGAAAACAACAACGAAAAATCGCTCAGTGTAAGCATGACATCCGATAACAGTGACAGATCGAGACATCGGTACATCGTGAAACTGGAAGAACCCACTTCTGTATGCCTGTATTTTAACCTCAAATATACCGCTCAAAATATATTAGAAATTTCACCCATATAAATCGCAACATGTATTTTATTTTTTCCCACAGTGACATACGTCTGTAGAAAAGGAGTTGATTATGTCGTGACCTTTTTTCTAACTATTCTGTGACAATAGATATGTGACTACCCTTTCAATGGTTCCTCTGCTTCTTGGTACCCTATATAATGGCGACCAGAAGCAATCAGCAATCAGCAACACATGGAGCTTCACTGGTGCATAACTTCCTTAACTGGTGTATAATATAAGGGTAATAGCCATTTTGGATGTCTTGTTGACATGAGGTCATGAGTGTTGACCTGCTGTAAGTAACGTCTTCACAAACGATGTTTTTGTGTTTCGTTGACCATTTTAAGTCTCATTGGCAATTTCGTTTGGCGCCATTCCTGTCAGCTGCATACATATGGAGCGAAGTCTTTGATTTTTCCAAGAAACACGCAAACATCCTAAATGAGAGCGTACTGATTATAATTCACGACCTTAAAGTCGAGTTATCTTTATGAATGTTCATTGAAATATGCATAATTTCAACCCCGTCAGAAGTTGGTTTTGAGTAAACTTAAAATTCCTTCATTGTTTCCTTTTTCTTTTCAACACAAATTCCATGTATTTTAGCAATAATAACGGTAATGCTATTTTTTAGGGCATTATCATTTGCAGAAGCCCTCGGTCTTTTGGAAGACCTCGGGCTTCTGCAAATGATAATGCCCTGAAAAATAGCATTACTCTTATATCAAATAACTTCATAACTGACCAAGCATCCTAAACGTTTCTCATTCTGGATACCTTAACAAATGGTGTGTAGTATACAAATATGATATCTTCGTCAAAAGGAAGTCCTACTACCATCTGACTGATGTATATTTATGTAAATATGATTGTGCATTGCCAAGCAGCAATCGTTTGTACACAGTCATAACAATATACGTTGAATGATCAATTTAACAGACACCCAAAGACAGATACTACCTATGCATTACAATGTCCATATAATCAGAGCAGGGTTGTCTCCCTTACTTCATTGCCCTCAGGTTTCCTGTTTCCGCCGTTTATTAAAGATTTATTTTCAGTTTTTTCCCTGCCGCGTATGTGTTTAACAATCAACATGACTTCTTCCAAGGGCGCGACTACAACTACAACCGCAGCCATAAGGAAACACCAAATCTGCAAAGTCATTAAGTAAGCGCGGAACTGTGATGACGTCAGCACATGAAGCGCCGCCATGACACTTGGCAGGATGACAATAAACAATGTCAAACTCACAGCTCCTCCAACATAGGCCGTCAATTTGGCCTTCCTGAAAACAGAGTCTAGTTGTTTGACTGTAGGCCTTGCTCCCTCGAGAGATGGGAAGTCCTCCTTAAACAGTTCTCCCCATGGATTTAGAGGATTGTCTATGTCACGTAATTTCTCCCACTCTGTCATCTCGTCCGTCTCGTCCGAGATCTTGTGCGTGAAGAGAGATAGTACAATGGTGACGAGAAGTGACACAAGAAAGCTGGCGCTGGATCCGGCCACGACGGAGTAGTTCTGAGACGTGTTGACGAGGAAGTTGCTGAGGCCGCCGTCGAAGGTGGATGCGACAGAAAAGAGCGATATGAGACCTCCAGCCAAACCGGAAAGGACACCTGCAGTGAAGAAAAACACGAGCTCTTATAAAAATAGCTACAATGGCGAACCTCAGGACAATGGTGAACCTACAATCAGCACTCAATTTAGCATTTCGTAAATATGTTTAGAAAATTTAAAGATACTCTACTACCTCGTGATTTAATAAATACATCTGTCTGGGTAGAGAATGAGCGTGGTATGGTTCTTTTATGTTTGTTTATTGTTTGTTTATATTTAAGTTGGACACAAATTTCTGCGAGTAAAGGAGTGGGCTTTTGTCGCGTGGCTGTGGTGACCACTGATAGTCACACACCCTCGGGCGGACCATGGTCACCACATCTGGATGTACATGCGTATCTGCATTTACTTTCAAAAATTCGTTTCTCAACAGTGCTTAAGATTTACAAAATAGATTATAGTTTCACATGCACCACTTTCCACCACGAGAAACCGACACGCCCTGAGATGCCTGTGATTTTGTGCAAAGCGGCGTCCAATCAAACCCCTCACACTACTCTTCGATTCTTAGGCCATATAAAAATAATTTCTTGTTTCTCATAACCGCCGACCCTAACATATGGCCCGACCCTAACCATTTTTTTAATATTTTTTTTTGCACCGGTAAATTTGCGTGTTTAAAGCCGGCAGACTTCCGAAATCCGTCTCAGCTTCCGGCATTCCAAATTTTCGACTAACATTGCATAGAAAATCAGGAAAAAAAATATTAAAAAATAAAAATATAATCCGCCCATTTTTTTATAGAAAGTTAAGAGAAACAGGAAATGTATTTTATGTGGCCTTACATGCAACGAATAACATGGCGTGAGCCATATTCGGAATACGAAGCAAAACGTATATTTGTTTAAGAAGTCGTTTTTTAACATTTAAAAATTCGACCTTCACTTACATCAGTTTAGGCTTTCATCTCACATATGATGATACGCAGTGACATAACTGCAATGCTTTAGTATTTGGCGTTGAACCAAATTAACGTAGTCTCCTACTACCACTACAACAAAGAATACCATTGCTACTACAGCAACGACTACAATATTGCTACTACAACAACTACGACGGGAGCTAATACATCCACAACTACGACGACCACCCCTACCCACCAGCAGTTGCTCCTATGGCCGACGTCTTCAGCCACACGATGCTGAGCACGGCCCCCGGGAAGCAGGGCGTGGTGATGATGAACCCCACCATCATGATCCAGTTGAGGTCGATCCCGGCCACGTTCACAAGCAGTCCAAGGGGGATAATTCCCAGGGTCACCCACAGGATGCACCAGCTTTTGAACTGTACCAGAGACTCTTGGTACCTCCGGAACTGACCATGCTGACCACACTGGAACAACTTTTGACCTCCAAGGTTTTTCTTCTCGATATTGTTCTTCTGGTCACGTGCACAGTCACGACAGTCCGAGGCTGGAGTGCACTCGCAGTATGAAGCCAGCTCGTCTTTGTCAGTGGTGGCATTTTTGAGTGCAGGCTTCGTTTTGCCACATAAGAGGCAGTTTCTTTTCGTATGTCCTTTTCTGAAAAACAAACAAACAAATGATGTGGGAGTCAAAACATTTGTTTAACTTCACAGCAAATATCACTAATACGCCAGTAGTTAGGGTCATTAGTTACGTGTTATGTAGAGTTGCGCCCCTTTGTCGTGCCAGGAACCGACTATTCTGGATATGAGTTCCAGATACGTTCATAGGCCTACGACATAGTCATGGACTCCTCTTTATTTATTTTTATATGTATATAAAAGTGAATGAGTGAGTGTGTGAGTGAGCGGGAATTAATACAACTTTGAACACTTTTTTTTTCAATTATTATGTAGGGTGTCGATGGAATGTCCGAACCATCCCAAAACACACTCACTCACTCATTCACTCGCTCACTCGTTCTCGTTCTACGCTGTGTACAATCAGGAGGAACACTTCAAGACAAACCAAAACCAGTCTCAGGGTGGCAAAAAATCGTGTTTACAGTCCTTACGTTTCCAAGACTGTATATTATGAGAACAATACGACTGTTTGACTAAACAAAGCACGTAAGGTTGAGATGGCGCCTTGTATTGTAAGGTTGGAATGCTTGGCCAAGCCTCATCTCGCCCCTAAACAGCCTCGCTGTCTCGCCAGCTGATGCCCATCCTATTAGGGCCCACTGTAACAACACTTAGCAGCTGGTCAGATTCACAGAGACTGGACACTCGCCAGCCAAATAATGACCAAAGGTCTCTAACTAGTCATGGGACAGTAACCCAGAGCACGGATACTTAATGACACAAGTCATATATTACCTTCATTACCGGAGTCTGCTCGCATCCGTATGAATTTGGTTAGTAGGTAGAGGTGAACACTGAATTAATTTACTGGCGAGTTCGCTGACCCACTTAAGGGACACAACCGCAGCGTGCCTAACATTATTGTGTTGGTTAAAAACAATCATCGGCGTACAAAATGATTTATCATTCGTAAAAAACAATTGATTTGGAAAATGTCAATAGCCGCGGATCAATGTTTTCTATTTGTGGATACAACTAAAACGTGTTTGAGTCGTTAGAACTTTCTGTGCGTCCAGGTTATGCACTACGACCAGTATTTAATGTGCAAAAGCATATTCTTAGATATCATTTAGATCCGGTTTTAAACGTGGTCACCATTGCAGTCAAACTGAAAACATGGGGTTTTTTTGTTGTTTTTTTTGGGGGGGGGGGGGTTGCATTACTGAGCCGATTCCGCATATGTAATTTTCAAATATTCATGACGGTAATTCTGACCATCATCATCTTATGTCAAGAATGGCCCAGAGGCAATAAGGTGAAGCATGCCTTTTGCGTTTTAGACTTGTTGTCTATAGCGGTGCATTAGACGCCAGGAACTTATGATCAAGAGTTCGATCCCGCTTCACCCATGCCAGACATATATTGTACTTTTCACAATACGAGAAACAGTACCTTTTGGACCAGTGCAATATAGCTGTACTAACAGTATTAGCAAAAGTTACTTATGATAACAATGATGAAAGGGGTAATCCTTTTTGTTGTTATCTTCACAAGCAAGTGATTGTTGTTGCTGCTGCTGCTGCTGTTGTTGTTGTTGTTGTTGTTGTTGTTGTTGTTGTTATTATTATTATTATTGGTTATGTTGTTGTTATTTGTTTTGTTGAGCATAAGCATCATCTTTATGTATCTTGAAAAACACGTTGAAGAAATATATAAATTTCTAGATTCCTATTTCAAGACTTGTGTGCCCGTGAAGATCAGGGTTGGAACTGGTTTTCAATAACCAAAGTTTCTAGTAAAATGCAAGTCATGGGATTGGGTGGTCATGCTTTCTGATTTGGTTGACACATGTCATCGTATCCCAACTGCGAAGATCGATGCTCACGATGTCCTTCACTGGATTGTCTGATCCAGACTCAATTATTTTCAGACCGCATTATGAGCAACAAGATTTCATATCCATCCTGCCCAAAGCTATGTCCGAAAATGGTCACCACCATTTGCTCCACCTCCCCAGCCTCCCAGCCTGACGTGCTTAAAATACATAAATTTAAACCCAGCAGTTATTGATTTTCAGATACTAAATTCACAAATTCCCATTTAAACGTACAAAATATTCCATCAAAGCCTCGAGCAACATAGCCTCACTACGTAGCAGGTGGAATGTGTCACTACCGAAGAACTCAACACTTATTCTCCCAATTTGATTTCATAACGGATCTCTTCCAGAATTGGGCATGCCAGCGGGTGATTGTCTGCATAACGCCACTATCATCATTATTCCAGCCATACAGCAGAAGTATATATGTATTACGATGGCATGTCTCAACCTTTTCAGCGAGCCTGACTCCCCGATCCCGTTAAATCGCATCATACAGCATGGGTTGCTGAAGACCAATTCTAAGCCGGAACTTCATGATTCGACCATCCACGTCGTGGGTCCTATGGCACACGACTATGCAACCTTCAGTACTTATGAGCAGCATAAGATACTTCACCTCTGTGATGTCCTCAATACATAGCTGATTTCCAAGTCAAGCTTGTCAGGTCTAAAATTCTAAAACTAAATGAAAATCACATCACTATCAACATCACATCCCACACACAACCCCTTCCACATGCACCTCACAACTCAACATTTATACCCCCACATTTCCCCACATTTATACCCACATACATCCCAACATTTATACCCACATACATCCCAACATTTATACCCACACACATCCCAACATTTATACTCACATACATCCCAACATTTATACCCACATACATCCCAACATTTATACCCACATACATCCCAACATTTATACCCACACACATCCCAACATTTATACCCACACACATCCCAACATTTATACCCACACACATCCCAACATTTATACCCACATACATCCCAACATTTATACCCACATACATCCCAACATTTATACCAACATACATCCCAACATTTATACCCACATACATCCCAACATTTATACCCACATACATCCCAACATTTATACCCACATACATCCCAACATTTATACCCACATACATCCCAACATTTATACCCACATACATCCCAACATTTATACCCACACACAACTCAACATTTATACCCACACACATCCCAACATTTATACCCACATACATCCCAACATTTATACTCATATACATCCCAACATTTATACCCACATACATCCCAACATTTATACCCACATACATCCCAACATTTATACCCATACACATCGAACATTTATACCCACTGACATCCCAACATTTATACCAACCCACATTCCAATATTTATATCCACATACATCCCAACATTTAAACCCACATACATCACAACATTTATACCCAACATACATCCCAACATTTATACCCACACACACAACTACCCACAACATTTATACATTTATACCCACATACATCCCAACATTTATACCCACATACATCCCAAAGTACATCCCAACATTTATACCCACATACAACTCAACATTTATACTCACAGACATCCCAGCATTTATACCCACATACATCCCAACATTTATACCCACATACATCCCAACATTTATACCCACATACATCCCAACATTTATACCCACATACATCCCAACATTTACACCCACATACAACTCAACATTTATACCCACACACATCCATACATTTATACCCACATACATCCCAACATTTATACCAACACACATCCCAACATTTATACCCATCCACAACTCAACATTTATACCCACATACAACCCAACATTTATACCCACATACATCCCAACATTTACACCAACATACAACTCAACATTTATACCCACACACATCCATACATTTATACCCACATACATCCCAACATTTATACCAACACACATCCCAACATTTATACCCATCCACAACTCAACATTTATACCCACATACATCCCAACATTTATACCCACATACATCCCAATATTTATACCCACATACAACTCAACATTTATACCCACATACATCCCAACATTTATACCCACATACATCCCAACATTTATACCCACATACATCCCAACATTTATACCCACATACATCCCAACATTTATATCCCAACATTTATACCCACATACATCCCAACATTTATACCCACATACATCCCAACATTTATACCCACATACATCCCAACATTTATACCCACATCCCAACATACCCACATACATCCCAACATTTATACCCACATACATCCCAACATTTATACCCACATACACACACATCCCAACATTTTATACCCACATATACATCACATACATCCCAACATTTATACCCACATACATCCCAACATTTATACTCACACATACATCCCAACATTTATACCCATACATCCCAACATACAACAACCAACATTTATATACCATCCCACATACATCCCAACATTTATACCCACATACATCCCAACATTTATACCACACATACATACTCCCAACATTTATACCCACATACATCCCAACATTTATACCCACATACATCCCAACATTTATACCAACATTTATACCCACATACATCCCAACATTTATATCCCACATACATCCCAACATTTATACCACACACATCCCAACATTTATACCCATCCATAACTCAACATTTATACCCACATACATCCCAACATTTATACCCACATACATCCCAACATTTATACCCACATACATCCCAACATTTATACCCACATACATCCCAACATTTATACCTCACATACATCCCAACATTTATACCCACATACATCCCAACATTTATACCCACATACATCCCAACAACATTTATACCCACACACATCCCAACATTTATACCCCACACACATCCCAACATTTATACCCACACACATCCCAACATTTATACCCACACCACACATACATCCCAACATTTATATCCATACATACATCATTTATACCCACCAACATTTATACCCACATACATCCCAACATTTATACCCACATACATCCCAACATTTATACCCACATACATCCCAACATTTATATACATCCACATACATCCCAACATTTTACCCACACATCCCAACATTTATACCTACACACATTTATACATCCCAACATTTATACCACATCCAATATTTACCTACAACATTTATACCCACATACATCCCAACATTTATACCCACACACATCCTAACATTTATACATCCCAACATTTATACCCACATACATCCCAACATTTATACCCACATACATCCCAACATTTATTACATACATCCCAACATTTATACCACACATACATCCCAACATTTATACACACATACATTTATCCCAACATTTATACCCACATACATCCCAACATTTATACCCACATACATCCCAACATTTATACCCACATACATCCCAACATTTATACCTACATACAACCCAACATTTATATACATCCCAACATACATCCCAACATTTATACCCACATACATCCCAACATTTATACCCACATACATCCCAACATTTATACCCACATACATCCCAACATTTATACCCACACACATCCCAACATTTATACCCACACACATCCCAACATTTATACACACATACATCCCAACATTTATACACACATACATCCCAACATTTATACCCACATACAACTCAACATTTATACCCACATACATCCCAACATTTATACCTACATACATCCCAATATTTATATACATACACACATCCCAACATTTATACCCACATACATCCCAACATTTATACCCACATACATCCCAACATTTATACCCACATACATCCCAACATTTATACCCACATACATCCCAACATTTATACCCACACACATCCCAACATTTATACCCACACACATCCCAACATTTATACCCACACACATCCCAACATTTATACCCACATACATCCCAACATTTATACCCACACACATCCAAACACTTACACTCACATACAACTCAACATTTATACCCACATATATCCCAGCATTTATACCCACATACATCCCAACATTTATACTCACATACATCCCAACATTTATACCCACATACATCCCAACATTTATACTCACACACATCCCAACATTTATACCCATCCACAACTCAACATTTATACCAACATACATGCCAACATTTATACCCAAATACATCCCAACATTTATACCCACATACAACCCAACATTTATACCCACATACAACTCAACATTTATACTCACACACATCCCAACATTTCTACTCACATACATCCCAACATTTATACCCACACACATCCCAACATTTATACCCATACACATCCCAACATTTATACCCACATATATCCCAACATTTATACCCACACACATCCCAACATTTATACCCATACACATCCCAACATTTATACCCACACATATCCCAACATTTATACCCACACACATCCCAACATTTATTCCCACACACAACTCAACATTTATACCCAAACACAGTCCAACATATATATACCCTACCAAACCCATTGATCCATCCACACCCAACTCCATCTCCATCAACAACCCTTCATTTCAACCCAGCCACATGCACACATCCAACCTCACCATATTCTACACGTCCACTTTCACCCACATCCACTCCCACTATCCATCCACATATGGGTGTGCCTACACTGTTCGTATTATACAGAGTTAAACGATATCAGGCGGAATTGTCACTAATATAATATTTTATGAACGCTTCCGTCAGGTGTGAGTCCCAAGAGGATAGATCTCTCTCGGTTGTAACACCTTAAATAGATTATGAACGATATCCCAGACTTACTCGCAGTCAGATATGCTGGGCCGGTGGATGTCTTAAGCTATGCTTAATTACAGTTATTTAATGACATAAACATACGTTACACCAAGGGTATCGAGTGATATCGAGTACTCCTAAATTAACATTTGACCTCTTACTGTAGCGCTTACTTTTTACACCAATCACAAACCAATACTCAAGAACTTGAAATAAACCACAGGTACACCTTGAAACACAGCCACACCCTACAACCACAGCCACAGCTTGAAACACAGCCTCAGCCACAGACACAACAGACACACATTGAAACACAGCCTCAGCCACAACCACATCTTGAAACACAGCCTCGGCCACAGACACAACAGACACACATTGAAACACAGCCACAGCTTGAAACACAGCCTCAGCCACAGACACAGCAGACACACATTGAAACACAGCCACAGCTTGAAACACAGCCTCAGCCACAGACACACGTTGAAACACAGCCACAACCACAGCCACAGCAACAGCCACAGCAACAGCCACAGCTCCAGTCGCAGCCATAGTCTGTCTCACAGTCCTAGAACCACATTATTTTCCCTAATGCCTTGCCCTCCCTGCAATGCTAAAGCCCTAAACGAAGCAAGTCTAGATTTCCCCAGGAATCTCCCAACTCACTGGGGCCCCAAACCCAAGAAGACATCCGAAACTCCAACCGAACATGTCATGATCCACATCAGACTGATAGTTATATCCCAAACTCTCTTTTCATATGCGCTCACGTTAACCAACCCTAACCCTAACTAAACCTTCCAAGAAACATTCTGAAAAACGATACCTGAACGTCTGATACATGGCCCGAACCCTCACCGTGCCCCAGACCTCAGCCTCGCACAAACTGCACACAAGCCCGTTCAAATAAAACCTCCTCCGCCCCCCTCTCCCCCCAGCATCTTTCCACGCTACTGTACCTGTAGGGGTTGATGTGTGTCTGATAGATGTCGTAAACGATGATCGACGACACCGCCATCACCTCCCCTGACCCCGTCGACATCAAGGCCATCGTCAGCATCGTTAACACCATGACTCCACCTGCATAGCCTAGCGCCGTCTCCGCAATAAACGGCGTCACCAGACCTACAACAACGGACAGGGTTAGATCCAGAATGACGGACGACACAGTATTGAATGGAATCTCGAGAAGGGGAATAAAAGCTGTAATAATTCAAAGCACTTGAAGGAGATTTATCCTTTTTTTCCTCCCAGAGTGATAAGGGTTATGGCCCGAAAGCTTTAAATTGTGTTGAACCAAACGATCCTTTTATGGTATTACATGTCTATTCCAGCTAAATGCAAGATTTCCTCGACTGTTTTTAGAATAGTTCCTCATAATTCATAAGAAGGGTTACAGAATCGTTTGATTTTAGTGATGCATTGTAAAAATTAAAATAGCAATTATTGCAGGTGCTAGAACCAAAAGGAAGCATGAATCTGTTAACTTTATTACATATTTAACACACAACTTTACCTAAAAGGAGATATAATGGGTATAAACTTCTCGAATTGGAAAGCAATATGTTGAAAAGCGTTCGTGTTTCCATACAGCACGACATCTTAACTCTTTTCGTAAAGCCCTGGTGTCATCACAGATCTATAACAAGATATAACTGTCACAGTAGTGTTGCCCTTTAATGCTCGATGGAATCTGTTCCGGTGACCATTCTTTGCCGTCGACGTTCCATGCATACGTTAACCATGAGGTGTCAGTGGTTTCGAGAAACAGAAAAATGTTTAAAATGTTTCTTTTCTTTGTCGTTTAACGCCGCACTCAGCAATATTCCAGCTCTATGGCGATGGTCTGTAAATAGACGTGTCTGGACCAGACAATGCAGTGATCAACGTCATGAGCATCGATCTACGCAATAGGGATACGATGACATGTGTCAACCAAGTCATTGAGCCTGACAACGCGATCCCGTTAGTCACCTCTTACGACAAGCATGGGTTGCTGAAGACCAATTCACAGGTAAAGGTACATGTATATTGAATATCACTACTATTGTTTCTATACATGGTTTAACACTGGAGTTATTACATATGCAATACCACCATGGACATACATTGTTGATATTTTTTCACGGGTTGATGCTGTTACTGATATTTTCAAGAAAACGACCCTGTTCAGGAATACTGCGTACCTGCATCAATGACTGAGGTGGGTAGGGCAAATGATGAGTTTGATGAGCTGAGAGCGAGGTAAGCGAGTCCAGTGCTTGTTCCTATAGAAGACGGGATGGCGAACCAGATGTACGTTGCAGCAAAGAAGCCCAGCACGCCTTGCGCTGGTTTGGCAGCAATACGACTTTGCCAAGACGCCTGGTCACAAAAGGTCAAGGATGACGTCGCAAACACGCCCTGGATGCCCCAGATGATAGCCCCTTCTGACCAGAAAGTTAGGTAACTCCTGCCCTCGTTGCCTGCAGGCCCTTCTTGACACGACACCTGTTTAAATATGGCGTCCATGCTACCAAGGAGTTTTGTGTCGCCCGGATTCTCAAGGTAGAAGATGTTCATGATGAAGACAACAAGGATGACGAAGACGAGCACGGCATTGAAGTAGGAGACGTAGAATGTCGTTCCAAGGCCACCCACGAATGAGTAGCTACCAAACAGGGTTGCCATGAGTAGAACACAAAATTCGGGAGAGGCGTTACTTATCATTGACTGTAAGGTGGCGATACCTGCCACCAGCAGGCAGATCATCACCACGAAGTTTGTCAGTAGGGCAAAGAAACAATACACAATGTGGGCTCGTTTCCCGAACCGAGCGTAGATAATCTGAAAGCATAATATGGAACAATCAATAATTATATTGATCTTAAGGCGCGGTCACTCTTACGTTCATCATGAACGTTGTTCTACCGGACCGTAGTGATTAACGTAGTAAACCGTAGTTTGATCGTAGTGCCATGTTACCACGGTGTACCATGGTCAACACAACGGTACAGTAGGGTCAATTACGGTCTGCTAGGGAGAACTAGGGTCAACCACGTTCAAACTACGGTAACAGTAGAGTCTTGGCATTCAAGCCAACCGTGGAGATATTTTGAACATGTTGAATTTTTTTGGGTCTAACCACAGTCAAATCATGGTTTTGCTGAAGTTCAAAGTATGGTCATAACTACGGTTATCCACGTTGAACTACGCTTAAATACGTCTAACTACGTTTTACTAAGGTCAAATACGAGGTCTGCTACGGTCTACTACGTCCATCCCCCACTACGGTCAGATACGTGCGTGTCCGTAAGATGCGACCGCCGCTTAAAGACGATAAACTTCGTTTATAACGAACACGCTTCTTTCGAAGCTTATTGTACATTAGGGGAGCGGTGGGGTAGCCTAATGGTTAAAGCGTTCGCTCGTCGCGCTGAAGACCTGGGTTCGATTCCCCACATGAGTACAATGTGTGAAGCCAATTTCTGGTGTCTCCCGCCGTGATATTGCTGGAATATTGCTAAAAGCGGCGTAAAACTAACCCCACTCACTTATTGCACATTTCGTTAAGTATTTGAGTCTACGGAACTGACAGTCAGATCAACGTCTATAAAGATCATTGAAGAGTAAAGTAAACTACGTTTATAATGAACACGCTTACAACGAACTGACGAATATAACGAACGATTATTGTATCGATCCCGGCCGGCCACTTATAGTACAATGTCATTTTTAGTCGAAATACCTGTAACGAATTCGAAATATTGCTATGACGAAGTAAAATTACTGGTTCCTTTCAGTTCGTTACAACCACAGTTTACTCGGTGCTTTATCGCCATCTTATGATAATTTTCCTGATGTCAAAATTGTAAAAGTATTATTATTATGAATATTCCTTCACAAAGACGTTTCGCTGTATATGTATGCGGGTATTGTATGTAACTGTAGTTTACCTGTAGGAATGTTTTCGCTCCTGGAGCTCTTGTCTTGAAGTGGACGGAGAGTACGGGAAACAGGATCATGTTGGTGACCGCACCCACGGAATACCAGAAGGTGCCAGCAATACCATTCTGTAAATACGATCGTGTTCTTATAATGACTCAAAGATCACATTGATCATGGAACATTAGTTACAGTTACAAGCTATCATTCATTCGTGTATTGTATGAGATAGCAATATACGTGTGTCAACTATGCGATAAGTTGCAGTAGGTACATAAATGGTTATGTCTAAGGCACTGTAATGATTTAAGGTACCTCTCTGGACCCGAGTTGCATCCCTTTGGCGTGTCAGAATCCAGTGATCGTGTTTTCGAATGCCACATCGTGCTGATGATGAAGGTCTAGCAAATCTCAGTACTGGTGGATTCATACAAGTCTTGGATGGACATCACTTAGTGTTCTTCTTCCACAGTTAGTTAAGAAATCGCACCGTATGCCTGTCATTAAAGCTGTTTGTTTCTTTGTTTGTTGTAAAATGTCGCACTCAGCAACATTCCAGCTATTTGGCGGTCTGTAAACAATCGAATCTGGGCCAGACAATCCAGTGATCAACATCATGAGCATCCATCTATGGGGTACGATGACATGCATCAACCAAGTCATCGAGTCTGACCACCCGATGCCGTTCGTCGCCTCTTACGACAAACATGGTTTGCTGAAGACACGGACACAGTAGCTGGTATTACGGGTGCAGCGTTAAACAACAAACAAACAAACAAACTAAGGTGCCTGACAAGCATACACGTGTTCCCCAACGACCTACCTTGATGGCGACGGTGGTGCTCTGTAACAAGTCCCCCCGGCCACAGAAGCTGCGATGCTACGGTGACAGCAGTCAAACTTGTGCTGACTTTCCCACCGGCATCGAACGTCGTGTCCAGGTTATCGGCGTCGTGGAAGACGTACTTTCTGATGGCGTTGTAGAGGAGAGCCAGGAGGATGGAGAACCCCCCGAACCCCAGTAGCAGCAGCAGTGCAGCCTCGTGTTTGGCCATGATGGTGGTCAGAGACCTGAAGGATGAGTGAGTGAGTGAGTGAGTGAGTTTAGCTTTATTCCAGCTCTGTGGCGACGGTCTGTAAACTCTCGAGTCTGACCAGACAATCCAGTGATCAACAGCATGAGCATCGATCTGCGCAATTGGGATACGATGACATGTGTCAACCAAGTCAGCGAGCCTGACCACCCGATCCCGTTAGTCGCCTCTTACGACAAGCATGGGTTGGTGAAGACCAATTCTAATCCAATCTTCACAGGGGGGGCAAAGATGAGGGAATTAGGTTTTACACAGTAGTCAGTAAATGTGATGGTGAGCGAGTATTATTTTACGTCGTTTTAGCAGTATTACAGCAATATCACGGCTGGGGACACCAGAAATGGATTTCACACAATGTACCCATGTGGGGATTCGAACTCGGGTCTTCAGTGTGACGAGCAAACACTTTCACCATTAGGCTACCCAACACAGTATTCAGTATGCCAGCTTGATGAGAAAGGAAGTCTCCAAGTGGAAGGACGTTTTGCATCTGTATTAGGGTAAAATCATCGATACATTGTCAGCTTGCTAATTTCTTTGGTCATGTGGACGACTTTCAGAAAGTTCGTGGTTCGAATCCAATCAAGGGCCCAGAAGTTGTATGAATTTGTTTGCTTGTCTTGGACGTTCACCAGTTTAGTTTCGTTTCTGGAAATTGGGCGTATGAGAGGTAGTTCCTTGTATTAAACCAAGCTGTCAAAGAAATGCTACGGATTACAAGATAGCGTTGTTTTAATGGATACCCGTCTAGGAAGCATAGCGTCATATGACAACCAACATTACAAGGTGACGTCCAACGTGGTTATACGTAGGATGGGCAACATACTGACAAGGGGTCACCCTTACACCACTGCTTCCAGTATAGACTTAACAGAGCTACAGATAACGTTTTGGGTCATTGAGTTATGTACTCACTTGTGTTCATCTCAAGTGGGTATCCTAATCTTTCTTTGAGTAACCACGTCGTCATATGAGCGAAATATTCTCAAGCACGACGTTAAACCCAATTTCACCTCACCTCACCTCTTTGAGTAACCAAATAAATTGTTACTCACCTCACTCAAACTCAATTGAGTATTTTGCCATTTTCCATTGAATTTGAAAATATAGTGAAGTTTAAAAGTTAATTTTTGTTATTTATATTTGATCTGTAATATGAGAAACGATAAGAAAGACTGCAAGTTGTCAAGTTCATGTCCTGAAACAGAACCTCTCAGTATACTTCAGTTATTTTATCTATCCACCGGTACGCAAGCTGAGATTTGACATTTTTGTGTGTACGCATGTAAGATCACATTTATTGAGTATTTACAAAAATTCATGGCTTCATGTACTTGTACGCAATAGACTGAATAGAAATTGAGTTTTCACATAAATGTTTTGCGTAATTTACGCAGATACGCAGCTTATCTGTACCTCTGGACTTAAGCTTTATATAGGATTGATTGTATGGAGGTCCAAGTCCGTACTTTGCGGGTGCCGTTGTTGTACAAAACGATCTTAGCGCCAAGATGACCATAACTCCCATACTGTTACCATAGATTTAAAACATCTGTAGTAAAGGTTTCGTATAACGGTACCCAGGTCTACTACGTGCAATATTTGACAGGTGACGAAGAATATATTTCTGACATGCATATATACCTATCTGGATAATTGGCTCTGAATTATGGAGATGTGAATTTCAAGCTCTCATATTGCGTACTATGTATTTTCAAATAATCATTGGTTATGAGAAGTGAGATGTTTTTTAATCAGTTTTAGTTATATTCCAGCAACACCAGAGGAACACTAGACACGGACCTTTTACATTGTACATAAACTCTTAAAAGCATATCCTGACTTTGAAACTATTACAGTTAGTTCAATTTATTCTCATTGATAAAAGCTGTAATTTAGCACGGTGATAATCACATATTCTGTGGATATAACTGCATACTGATTGTCTTGTCACATAACATGCACGTCCACGAGGGGGCGCTCCGATCAGTTCATCGTGTAACACTCTGTGGTGTTATCACTGCTCTACACATCCGTGCCACAGATTGAATAATGGATATATCTTATTTCTGTCCTCTGGAACTCTTTTTCCCTCCCGCAAAGCGTTGGCCAGTTGTGGAAGTGTCTGTGGCGTATGTTGGCGTTGATACACGTCCATCCAGTGCATCTCACAGATGTTCTATCCGGTTCTGATCCGGAGTCCTGGCCGGCCATTGCAAAAAATGGACGTTATGAAGGAAATCAACGGTGACACGATGTGTGGTAAATCGTTGTCATGTTGAAATATCCCATTCTGTGGTTTGATAATCGAAAGAAGGTGACAGTGAGTTATTTGATCGATGTACCAATCTGCCGTCAGGTTCCCCTGCACACCACCAAGTCACATCTCCTTGTGTAGGGTATGGCTCCCCACACCATCAGTCTTCCGCTATCGGTGTCTGTCGACAGCCGAACAATGGGGTGCAAAACGTTCATTTCAACGTCGGTTACACGCTCATCCATCTTGGTGTTGAAGTAATAGTGATTCATCAGTGAACCAGTCCATGCCTGTACGGTGTTGTTCCATCGCTAACGAAGCAATCGTCTGAATACCCGAACTCCAGGATTTAAATCCAACCTGTAAGTTTCCTGACTGTTTGTTCAGGCGTGGTGGACGGGCTGTTGCGAGCTTTGAAAGGTGCCGGGATCCAGCCCACCTGTGACCGGGTGTAAAAACCACGGAATCAACTTTGTGTGCAGATTCTTTCAGTGTTGTCACAACCCCTAAAGTACAGTACACAACTCTGTGCGCTTAAAAGAACCCACGAGTCCGTTGGTAAATGACCAGATGGTGGCCACATGAATACGTGCAAACACCAAGTTGCGGGTACAGCAATGTGCAGTAAATTTGGTCAAAGTACTGTGACTATGTGTCCCAGTCCACCCAGCTGTGAATAGGTACGTCGTCACGATGAGAAAGACACAATAACAACTTGGTGCAGCCTAATGGCTGCAAGAGTTGTATGATCCCCAGGGAGTTGAGATTGAAAATACAATGATCGAGGGAAAACAAAGCGCATTTGAGCAGCTGAGATGGCTATTGGCGCTATACAGATATTAGTATGTTCCGATACCCTCCTCAAAACAGGCCACTTGGTGCCACTGGTTTGTCGATGAATTACATGAAAGACAGGAATGTAGGATCTGGTGCAGGGGCGGTGGCTTTTGGTCAGCCACTTCTCCAACGACCTTGAGTTGAGTTGAGGCGGGTATACTGACACCTCTTGTGTAGGTTGAAATGGGGTGCAACTGCAGACTGGGGCGCTCACGCCTCAAGACGACCTATGGCGATGTTGTGATTGTCAAACTATGACAATACAAGTTGACGAACATGGAACTAACATCGTTCAATCAAAATTATTTCATTTGTATAAAAACTTTCACTGATATACCAAATCAACATTTTCATGATCTCCTAAGGGTATCTCTTCTTAGTATTATTTTTCTCTTTTTTCAAAGAGTGTATGTGAGAATCTCACCCGGACCTTCGGTGTGACGAACGGATTCTGAACCAATCTTCTAATCCCTCGCCCCTCACAAAAAATAGAACAAAGGGGAGACGGAACTGATAGTACGACAAGTATAGCCTATGTACCTATACATCTTGTAGATTGGAACAATGAATTATTTGATGACAAAGTAACCGAAAGTGTTTTATTGGTAGCTTCACACTAATGTTCGAAATATTGAACCGCAGTAAGCTAAGAAAAATTTAAATCAGAAATAAAAATATCTCACCCGTTGGTCGTGTTAGTAGAGTTCGCCAACGAACCACACGTCATGTCGTCTTGTCCCATGACGAGATTGACAGCGCACAACACGATGACGAAAACACAGGAAATCATGACGTCATATGCCTACGTCTTCCTGGAACTAGAAATGGACAAATACTGTGAAAATCATGAAAGTTTAAAAGTGTTCACAACATGCGAGGAATATGATCCCGGTCCAACAACATGATTAATACATGTTTACATAAACACGCCGATAACAGAAGTAAAGCAGCCGCAGTGGAAATAAGCATGACGAAAGTGACAGGATTAATAATGTGATGGGCAAAGCCGGATAATGCATCTATTTGTCTTCCTACCTCATTACAGAAATTACAACTGTTCCATGAAGTACATCCACGCCAGAGTATGCATATCGAAATGCCATCAGTTACTCCACATGCAGTTGTTTATTTGGAGAGGTGGAATACATGTAGATTAAATGATTTTTGCATTTCACGAAACATAACACACCGTAAACAAACCGGAGACAGCGTGCATATCCCAAGGTCATAGAGCTGTGTGGGTCGAGTGAGAGGCATGTTGCCCATCTATTTCAATGGTGTAGCCTAATTTTTAGTTATCTGTGTTATATTTAGGTTTGTGATAATCAAATCCGTGTGTAATTCAGCTATTTGTAAAACGAAGACGATAAAGTAGCCATATATCTCTTGCATGTGTTCCTTTTTCAAAGAATAACGTCAACAAATTTAGACGAATCCGTTTTCGTTTTAGCGTGATATCTCATATCTCATTCCAAAGTAATCTGGACGTGCATGTACGCGTCCATTACGTACTTCTAACCTCAACAAAATCAACACAGATTTCGATAACAGCAGCATGCACGGTCAAAATACGTGTGTTAGCTCTGCAGAAAATATATACACTGTGATTATGTGAGCGCCGAAACGCCTTTATGGAACATATTTATACAAAACCTACCTTTTTCAAAAACGGAGGCGGAATGGAACGGAAACCTGATAAATCTCTGTTACGCACATACTGCAGATAGTCCTTGAACAGACTAACAGTGCATCGCTTCACAGTGTCGGACTCTAGTATCAGTGATTACGCTACCAGTCTTAGCGGTACATCGTCTCCGCTAAGGCCGACGTCATTTATGCTAAATCTGGGTCGAAGTTCAAAAGAAACTTTATTATCGCAAGTGAAATTCCATTCTTTCCCTTCCAATGTGGAATTCACTTACAGCGAAACATTCGTGCTGAAACCCAAGACGCCAGGGAAGCAATCTCCACCTGAGGCGCCCCTTCACGCCGTCATTGCTACAGAAAACGCTTCAATAAAAAACAAGGCAGCATGCAAATAAAATAACAAAGGCACGGGCGGGTTAGTTCCAAGTAGCATTTCTGATAGGTTTTGTGGGAAATATGAGGGAGCGTGTGGGTGTTCCTGGCTGACCGAATTTCTGTCCCTTACCCTCTCGGTCCCGTCTGTGTAAGAGTACCTTTACTAGGGTAATATCAGAGTGGCGTCAACGCCACCTGCTCGCCTGCTGCAATAGACGTCAGAGAGTGTGAATCTGGCAATCACGGAACAGCTTACATTCACAGGCCACTGTGCTTATTTCACTGCCAACGTAACAACTCTAAAGTGTGTGAGTTTGCTTTAACGCCGCTTTCAGCAATATTCCAGCAATATCATGGCGGGGGACATCAGAAATGGGCTTCACACATTGTACCCATGTGGAGAATCGAACCCGGGACTTCAGCATGACGAGCGAACGCTTTAACCACTAGGCTACCCCACCGCCCCGTAACAACTCTAGAGTGAGTGAGTTTGGTTTAACGCCGCTTTTAGCAATATTCCAGCAATCTCACGGCGGGGGGACACCAGAAATAAGATTCACACATCGAACCCGGGTCTTCGGCGTGACAAACGAAGAGTTTAAACACTACGCTACCTCACAGCCCCAACAACTCTAGATGCAGTGGCGTATTGATATTGCAGTCACTATAAACCGGGCAGTCCAACATCCCACCGCATGGAGATATAACATCATGGCCGACGTTTGTGGAGAGTGAGTTTAGTTTTAAGCCGCTTTCAGCAATATTCCAGCAGTTTCACGGCGGGAAACACCAGAAATGGGCTTCACACATTGTACCCATGTGGGGAATCGAATCCGGGTCTTCGGCGTGACGAGCGAACACTTTAACCACTAAGCTACCTCACCGCCCCACGTTTGTGAAGAATGCTTAACCTGTGTTTAATAGCAAAAAACAATATATGATTTGTTTGGTGTTGCACTCAACAATATTCCTTCAATGTGACGGTGATCTGTAAACAATCACGTCTGGATCAGACCATTTCTGGTGTCCCCTGCCGTGATGTTGCTGGAATGTTGCCAAAAGCGGCGTAAAACCAAACTCAGTCAGTCAGTCTGGATCAGACAAACCAGTGGTGGACATCATGACCGTCGATCTACGTAACTGGGGTACGATGACATGCATCAACCAAGTCAGCAAGCCTGACCACCCGATCCTCTTAGTCGTCATTTATGACAAGGGCAGTCTTCTTCCGGCAACAGTCCGGTTAGGTTGCCACTAAATTTAGTTTGTGCCATGTTCACAAAAACAGTTTGAACAATGAGTCCTGCCCTTGCTGAATGACGTTCTGTCTGAGGTGAGGTGAGGTGAAATTGGGTTTAACGTCGTGTTTGAGAATATTTCGCTCATATGACGACGTGCATGCGTGTGTATGTGTATGTGCGGCTGCTTGTACTAGCCCAGACTTAAACCGGTTTTATAATGCTAGCCCACTGAGATATCATGCCGCAGAGAAGCATGAATACCCGATTCAGACACATTATACTGACTCCGAGCCGACCAGTTCTTGTTGTACCCATTAATGCCGAGCGCCAGGCAGGGACCAACAAGTACCATATTTTAACGTCTTTTGGTATGACGGGGTCGGGGATCGAACCCGCGACCTTCCGCATTCCGGGCGGACGCTCTAACCTCTACAACAAGGAGGCGGTCCGTTCTGTCTGAACGAGAGGAGCCGAGGGAATCATACACACATGAGTGAGTGAGTGAGTTTAGTTTTACCCCGCAACCAGCAATATTCCAGCGATATGGCGGCCGTCTGTAAGTAATCGAGTCTGGACCAGACAATCCAGTGATCAACAGCATGAGCATCGATCTGCGCAATGGGGAAACGAATTTTTAAAATTGTCTAAGCATTTTATTTAAAATTCATTGCATGAAATATGTGTAATTAATTACTTTATATATTTATAATTACATACGCACGTGTGTATATACAACGTAGACGGTGACGAAATGGGCGCATTAAGACAAAGGTGTACTCGTCTTCCATAAACTGTTATAGTAAACCTTACACACTTATCGATTAGGATTTTGTTATATACTGTTTCAGTCATCAATACATTGAAAGAGCATCTAAATCTGGTTTGTGCACTGCTGATGTTGATACAAGCGCCAGTGATTTGAGAATCAGACATGGTTTCCGTGGGGAATCGCCCGCATAAAGGTGAGTGAGTTTAGTTTTACGCCGCACTCAGCAATATTCCAGCTATATGACGGGTGTCTGTAACACAGTCGAGTCTGGACCAGGCAATCCAGTGATCAACATCATGAGCATCGATCTGCGCAATTGGGATACGATGAAATGTGTCAACGAAGTCAACGAGCCTGACCACCCGATCCCGTTAGTCACCTCTTACGACAAGCATGGGTTACTGAAGATCAATATTCTATCCTGCACCTTCACGGGTATCATATATACATGAAATAATGATGATTTATGTAAAGATACATCATCGCAAAAATGTTGAAAATCCTGCATAACACGTAAACATAAACTTGATAAATGTACAAAAGACGACGTTAAATTCATCCACTCACATAATACACAATAGAAGTGCATTTCATTAAATCAATTACATTGTATTGCCACAACCATGACCCTGACCCAAAGGATTTAAAATAAAACGTGCTTGTCATTTTCTTCATTTTTTAAAAGACAAAAAAAAGAAGGAAATCTCTGATTGAGAAACCAGTTGACACGCGTGTGCGTGAATGTGGCTTTATGCGGCTTTTACAAATTATTCCACCCATGGCGAGCCTTACCAAAATAGGCTTCACATCTTGTACCCATATTGTGAATCAAAACTTGGTCTATCGTGTCATGAGCGAACGCTTTAACCTCGGGGCTTAATACGCGATTACACAAATGACGATACTCAAAATGTTAACCAACCATTTAACATTGTTGTGATGTCATGCACTTCTCGTGCGGGGGTGAGGGTGCATGCTTCTTAATTTAAAGCCCTGTATCAGTCATAGGTTAGTTAGACCCGGAGAAGATAAGCAAACAGATTTCTTATCTCAAGCGACCTTCACGATCTAAGGTCAGGAGATAAACGTGAAAATGAATCCGAATGAGATGCACCACCGTGTTAAAGTAACGGTCGTTGGCGTCACACCTGATTCAGGCTAATTACATCGAGTCAGACAAGGTCGGTGACATATGTCAGTTGTGGCAGGCTGCTGGTGATTCGTATGGGCCTGAGTTAGTTAGTTTTAGCAATATTTATATTCCAGCAATATCACGGCTAGGGACACCAGAAATGGGCGTCACCCAGTGTACCCATGTAAGCAATCGAACAGCATGACGAGAGAATTCTTAAAAAGTATTAGGCTACCCCACTGCCATGGTGATTCGTATGGAATTATTTGATTTGTTATGTCGGTATGCCACTTGATTGACTGACTGATAGCTCATGATATCAGTCACTGGATTGTCTGGTCCAGACTCATTTTTTCCCGACGGCCGTTATCTACGCAGGTGCCGCTGTACAAACAACGTTAGCGCTGAGACTATCGTAAGTCTGTGTTAATGTATGTGAGTTACGGTCACCTTAACAATAAGATCTCTTCGTACGCTGGAAAATTGCTGAGTGATACGTAAATACATACATACGCTGTACACGTTAATCAAATATATCGATCAAGGGTTTTCTCACTGTTATAACGTAAGAGAAACAGAGTTACGCATCGCGTTAGTGTTTGTAGAGTCGGTTGTACTAGTCCGATGTAATAAGTGTTTTATAGACAAAGGGCATATTAACATGAATACTCTCATATAGTCATAGTGTACTGACCCCTTCCTTGTTAATGCAGAGCGCCTGGCAGGGCATTAACAAATACCATCTTTTCACGTCTTCCGTGACCTTCCTCACACACTCTGTCTACCCAACCATAAGGGTCTAATTCTTATTCATATAGAAAAATATTGATACATAAGGCCTGAAGTATATCGCCATCTTCTTATTATGGACCTTGACTCACTAGTGCACATGGTTATCTATCGAATGAGGTCGAGTTTGAACGACTTGTCGAGTTTGTTTTACGTCGAACGGATTTCTCACGCGTAAGCTGTGTCTGGAAGGTAAACATCCTCGACGTCAGCCACTTAGGGGATACATAAGGTAATAACAAATGTGTTATTATTGAATCATGGTAACTCTGAACAACCAGTTGTGACGCCTACATGATTGAGCCGCCCGTGCCTCCTGAATAGGTTTGTCAATATGAGACCGATCATATACGATGGGTTTTTTTTAAGTACATTATATAGTGTATGTACGTATAAGTCTAAAAAGATATGGTTGCCTGTTGACGAAAGCCTCAGACAGTCGCCATATAGAGTTGAGTCCCTTTACCAGGCTAGGATCCAAGATTCGGCCATGTTGTTGGTTTGTCTGCAGCGCACTTATGGTATAAATGGTAAAAGACAAAAAGACAGCGTTCTTGATGCCGGGATTTTCTCTAACATTTATAGTGACACGTGGTAATGCAACAGAAATATTTCAGTGTAGACACAAGTCCCTCACCATTATGTTAAACGCTTCTATTGTTTTTACTAGAATATATAGCAGGTGAGCGTGTTTACGACTGGTTAAGTGTTTAACTGCCTTGACCCATCGCATTGTTTACAATGCTATTTACCCTGTGATAACACATATTTACTGTGTACATAATCTACTGTTAATCAAAACACATGGTTGACGGTTGGGTTTGTAAGAGTGATTCAAGGTGCGGTAAGAGATCTGTATTTCCTGACAAGTAGTGAATAAATATTGTTTGACGCCGCAGTAAGCTATATCACAGCTACATTCGTGATAGTCAGGTTCATAGCGTAAGCATCTGAATCTCATTTAGTCGACTAACAATAATATTGCACCGGAATTCGTGAGGGTTTAAAACGGATCAGGAACGGCTCAACTGGGCTGGTTGGTTGGTTGGTTGGTTGTTTAACGCTGCACTCAGCAATATTCTAGCTACATGTATATGGCGGCGGTCTGTAATTAATTGAGTCTGGACCATACAATCCAGTGATCAACATTATGAGCATCGTTCCATGCAACTGAGATACGATGACATGTGTCAACCAAGTCAGCGAGTCTGACCACCCGATCCCGTTAGTCGCCTGTTATGACATGCATGGGTTATTGAAGACCAATTATAACCTGATTCTTCTCGGGTTGCTCAACTGGGCGTCTTTGCAATGTGATTCAAATCCTTCATCATTGTTAATAGAGCATTAAGAGCTCCAGTGAGTGAGTGAGTATGGTTTTGCGCCGCTTTTAGTAATATTTCATCAATATCACGGCGGGGGACACCAGGAATGGGCTTCATACATTGTACCCATGTGGGGAATCGAACCCGTCTTCAACTTGACGAGCGGACGCTTTAACCATGAGGCTACGATCCACCCCTCCAGATTGGGGAATATCACCCATTTTTCACTCAAATACACTGGTGATACTAATATACCATAGTGAGTCAGGCGCGTAGCAAGCCAATCTTTTCGTGTAAGACCGATAGGTTGCAAAGCTTTATATTTAGATAGTATTGATGGCTTGCCCAACCTTTTTAGCAACAATCATGTGTAAGCCCAGGCTTTTTTTATAATGGTAACTACGCCCATGTGAGTTTGAGAGTTTTAGCAATATTCCAGCAATATCACGGCTGGGGACACCAGAAATGGGCTTCACACATCGTACCCATGTGGGGAATCGAACCCCGGTCTTTGGCCTGACGACAGAACGCTTTAGCCATTGGCCTACCCCACCGCTCCCTTCTATACAAAAAACAGATTCATCAGCCATACAGGGTTATTACAGTCGATAGCAGCACAAACAAACACACGTTTAAAACAATTTGCGTTTATTAACTGAAGTTGTATTTGGGATAATTCACTTAATATACTCATGGATATCCAAACGCATAAGTCTTGGCAAACACATGACTGTACTCAAAGTGTTCCCTTTATCCTTTACCAGGTTTCTTCACAAGGTATGTGTTGCACTGTGAGTGAAATTCTGGAAATAAATAAAGGAACACTTGTACTTTCATGTGTTCCCTCAGTCATTTCCATGAGTATATAAATATTCCTAAACAATTTACCCCATTTTTTACGTCAAATGCGAACATGGTGAGACGCAAGTCTATCCGTATGCTCCACCGTGTGCTTGTGCGTTCGTGAGTGTGCACTGCTGTGTGTTTCAGGGGCGGATGCAGCTTTTTGAGAAAGGAGGGGGGTGCACATTATTGAGAAAGGGGTGGGGTGCACACTTCATTTTCACCCGAGTTTCGATGGACACTGAACAAACTTTCAGGACAAAACGGGGAGTGCACGACCCTGCAACCCAACCCCCAACACCTTAACCCCCAACCCAACCCAACCCCTCGCTAGATCCGCATATGTGTTTAAGGGGCCTGTAAGTCTCGCGAGGGCTACTTCCGGTACAAGCAGGTTAAAAGGATCCTGGCTCCCTTTGCGCGCGCCAAGTTGCGTTATGCGAGACGGGGCCCAGCTTTCTTCAGGTACCAGATTTCCGGTGACAAGTGTGTATTCAAGAAAACCAGTTCTGGTTCCAAATTGCGCGCCCGCTAAATAATACGTTACTAGACCGAACCAAGTGTTCAACCATGCTTGGCCGTCACAGAAGTTTACAGTCGTAATAATAGGCTAATTTGTGTATGGTTAGATCGGAAATTTGGAAAGTTTTGCCCACACAAGTCTTATACCTGTTCATTTCAGGGATTATCGGTTCCTTACTGTCAACCGGCAACCATGAGACAGACCATTCGAAAAGGTATGAAACGTTGTTTGTCACCGGAAGTATTAAACAACATAAGGTCTCGCGAAGTGCCGTGACCTACTTACGGGCCTTATAAGCTGGAAGGTTATGACCAACTGTGGAAGAGCGGAAGGGTACCGCACAGAACCTCGCTAATCAGTCCAACCGAGTTAATCACACCTCGTCGCAACACGACCGGAACACGTAAAACGGATCGCTAACCTATGCAACGTAATTAATCTTCCTTATAAGGAAAAATTATTTGAACAGGACTGTTAATTTACATGTCATTCACCTCAATAAGAAAATTGAGACAGATGCTAACTAAATAAAGAAATTTGATTGGTTCAAACATAAGGTACAAATTTGTGAGTGGAATTCGAAAGTGAACGTAACATTTCTGGCGTAGGTCAAGTGATCCAATGGGTTTTTTGATTATTGGGGAGCCTCAAAAGCCACGTACGGCGATTCAGTGTTGAATGGTGTAAGTGAAGACTTTGCTGCCAATGCCTTCTTGTGCCATATGCTGCCAATGCCTTCTTGTCCTATATGCTGCCAATGCCTTCTTGTGCTATATGCTGCCAATGCCTTCTTGTGCTATATGCTGCCAATGCCTTCTTGTGCTATATGCTGCCGATGCCTTCTTGTGCTATATGCTGCCGATGCCTTCTTGTGCCATATGCTGCCAATGCCTTCTTGTGCCATATGCTGCCGATCCATATGCTGCCAATGCCTTCTTGTGCTATATGCTGCCGATGCCTTCTTGTGCTATATGCTGCCAATGCCTTCTTGTGCTATATGCTGCCAATGCCTTCTTGTGCTATATGCTGCCAATGCCTTCTTGTGCTATATGCTGCCAATGCCTTCTTGTGCTATATGCTGCCAATGCCTTCTTGTGCTATATGCTGCCAATGCCTTCTTGTGCTATATGCTGCCAATGCCTTCTTGTGCTATATGCTGCCAATGCCTTCTTGTGCCATATGCTGCCAATGCCTTCTTGTGCTATATGCTGCCAATGCCTTCTTGTGCTATATGCTGCCAATGCCTTCTTGTGCTATATGCTGCCATTGTCCTAAATCTCTTCTTTGCGCCACCAGTGATGGTTTGGCTGATTTAGTAAGTGTTTAACGCCGCTCTCAGTAATATTCCAGCTATATGACAGCAGTCAGTAAATAATCAAGTGAGTGAGTGAGTTCAGTTTTACGCCGCTTTTAACAATTTTCCAGCTATATCACGGCGGGGGACACCAGAAATGGGCTTCACACATTGTACCCATGTGGGGAATCGAACCCGGGTCTTCGGCGTGACGAACGAACGCTTTAACCACTAGGCTACCCCACCGCCCTAATAATCAAGTCTTGGCAAGTGATTCATATCATGAGCACAGATCTACTCAATGCGAGCCTGACCACCCGATCCCGTTTGTCGCCTCTTACCACAAGCATGGTTTGCTAAAGACCTATTCTAACCCGAATCTTCATGGGTGCGAGAAGTCATGGTTACACAGTCTCGATGTGCAAGTGCAAGTGTTGGCCACAGATGCTGGTTTGAATCTCCATGAGTACAACAGGCGAAGCCCATAATTAGTGACAAAACACGCTAAATGGCTGGAATAGTGTTGGAAAGGGTTTCAATATCGAGTTGAACACCCCGTAAACCTCCAACTCATCCCTGAAAACTATTTCCATAAGGTGCTTTGTTCAGAATTTCAGACACTTCAATCACTTATTTGTCTGGTCAAGAGTCGTATATTTACAGGCGTCATTTGTGTTAGTTTCATTCGTGTTGACTTTAGCGTTACGCAACATTCATTCATTCCTTTTAGGAACCCGTAAAATCCGGGTTAGCATTGATCTTCAGCAAACCCATGCTTGTCCTTAGAGGCGACTAACGGGATCGGGTGGTCAGGCTAGCTGACTTGATTGACACATGCCATCGTATCCCAGTTCCGTAAAACGATGCTCATGCTGCTGATCACTGGATTGTCTGATCCTGACTCGATTATTTACAGACCGCAGCCATATAGCTGGAATATAAACTCATTCACTCAGTCAGTCCTCTTAGGCATGTCAGAAGCCTACGATCGATGTTTGGAATCCCAGTTTTGGCCTCTGAGGACTCAGATTTGTCAGTACCATTCCAGTGCCCATGGACTTCAAGATAGTGGTGACCGTCTTATACCAGCATGCCTTCTCCTTGTATCCTGATGCCAGCACGCTGTGATGCAACTGATATATGCAGTTCAAACAACCATAAACCCCAACTCACTGACTCAATCTTCTTTAACATCAACACTCAACGCAAAACGAAATTGTATATGCATCTAATTTGAAACCAGGTACTTAAAGGAAAAGCATGTTGACACGAATGTTAAACAACTATGTACCACTTGAAGCCTTACTGTCACAAATAGAAAGTGACATTTTGGCAACCAGACTTGGCACGTATAAATAGAAGATAAAATCTATCAGGAAACGTATACCATTTTCACGTAATTATCAAGAAACATATGCGACGTCTGGTTTTTCATGCATTTCTCTAGAGGAGGTTGCGTAACAGCGGCTACGTATTCGCGGCATTCCTTGCAGATCGCTGCCAAAACGCTTAGCATGCAACGGTCAATGGCATCGTCGCTATGACGTTTTCCAGATGACGAGAATATCTTGCGTTCACTCGAAAATGTTATGCATTATTGACTTGCTAAATATACGAGTGAAACACGCGATATGACAGAGAGGTAAATGTGGATCCCAGTCAGTTCTTCAGCCCCTAACCACCTGAGTTCCTTTGTTGTGAGAGTGAAATAACTGTTCCGGTTACCTATGGTTGCTGCAGTCGGATCCACTCGGGTCATTCCGTTACCTACACGATAACTTGCATAACTCGGTCCCGAATGTGAGCGAGCTTTGTTTAACGGCACCTTTAACGGGAAATCCCAAAGTGGAAAAAGAAGCCAAATATTTCATTCTTATAAACTAGATCACTTCTATTCCATTTCTTTTACTTTTGTGAAACCAAGGGACATTTTTGCTTCCAGATTACGCTCGTAAAGTATTACCCAAACAACCCGGGTTCGATTCCCAACATGGGTACAATGTGTGAAGCCCATTTCTGGTGTCCCCCGCCGTGATATTGCTGGAATATTGCTAAAACGGCGTAAAACCAAACTCATTCACTCACTCACTCACTAAAATAAGTTCCCGACGTTTAACATATCCACTAACTTCGACAAGAATCGATAGCCACCATGAGAAACCCAAGAGTCATGTTAAATACGACCTGTTCGACCTGCTGGAATCAGGTGATGCATCTCAGACACGTTAATCTCAGCGGTTTATCTCTTGACATTGGATCGTGAAGATGACGTCAGAACAGAAGACTCACTGACGGTCTTCTTGTAACCTGTTACTGATACGACGGGTATTCACTGTGTGCATCGTTCACTATACAAGGTCGGTAAGATTGGGAGACGTCAACCAGGATCAGAGTAGTGTGTGAGAGGGAGAGGTTGCGTGCGTGCGTGTGTGTGTGTGTGCGTGCGTGTGCGTGTAAAACACTCACATTCGGAACTGTCTCGTGGAGAATCCACCAATGTGGCTTATGGTCACTTTGAACAGTTTTACATTGGTTACAATACGCCTGTTTAGCTTAATGATGTCGGGTAGTAAGAACACTGACCATGCTGAGGGCGTTTACCACTTTGGTAAACCCACAAGCATAAATCATGTGCCGACAGGGCAGGGTTCAAACACCTGTCCGGGATTTTGTGTCCGAATGCAAAAACCCATAGGCATGTGTATTAAACTTCAATTTTATCTAATGGTTTTAAATACCCATTAAACATCCACCTGGTGCTTGTCACCAGTGGGTTTTATTGACTCTATGAGTGTGTGTGTTTAATCGGGGCTAACATGATTCGATTTCCAAATGGATATTCGATGGAGATGTATTTCATATTTTAATTGAAATCATAATTATCAATCATAATTGAGTTTCT